TGATAAATTAAAACCTATTAACTATTACTTTATTCATCGAATTGTTCTTACCGCATTAAACAAACTTTTCAAGGTCGCGTGCTCATCACATAGAGTAAAAGATGGGGGAAGGGACCTGACCCTGTTCGTTCTCTCTTTAGAGATACTTTAGATCAACGAAACATTGGGCCATATAAAAAAATTATATCCTCTAGTTCTGAAATTTCTACTTGTCAAGCGCGCTTTCATTTCAAACAGGTTTGAAACCTGTTTTCTTATTCGACCTAATCTCGTTTTTCTTAGGGGAATTTTCTTTTCTTTTTGATTCAATCTGTCTCTAGCGAAAGCCCGTTTGCTTACATTACAGTCAGTGGAGAGTCTCTTGTTTTCTCGAGTCTCCCATTCTTCTGTAGCATCTTGCTTCACCTTTTTCTTTGACTGCTCATCCAAACCATTAGAGGACCAATCATGCAAAGAAACCTCATCTTGTCTCTTTCGTTTTCTCCCTTTGATCCCACTCTCCAAAAATTGGGCTTGATCTCGTTGGTCAACATGTTGATCCACAGCCACAATTCGTTCGAATTGGAAGGGACCAATCTTGAAAATGCCTGCCCCAAACATCATGGCAACGTCGAACTCCTCCTTGCAACTAAGATCGCAGACCTGAAAGAGTTGCTCGAGTTCTTTCATTATTTCCCTGAAAGATTTTGAGCTTTCAACTGGATCCAGTGTTGCAAAGTGGAGTAAAAGTTGTATTTCGACGCTCAGGACTGTCGTAACCATTGGATTCTGTGGATGAAAAATTCAGAGACATTCTCAGAAATTAGAATGATTTCGAAAAAATAGAATCATAATTTGTGATATCAAGTTACTCATTATCAAGTTAAAAAAAAGAACCATGATTTGTAATGCCAAGTTTTGTAATGGATGTTAGTTTATCTGCGTCAAACTTTACTGCTAATTTCAAAACTCGATGTTAACAAACCTTTTCTATGTCTTCGATTGTGAAAAGAATGTGATCCAAAGATTGGACAATTTGTCGCACAATCTGGCCAACGTCTTCAAGCCTGGTGGATGCGTTATAGTCATCAACCTGAAGAAGTAAATAAACATGAACACAATTTTTAACAATTTGCTGTTGAGCAAATGCTTCGAGACCTAAGACTAAAAAGTGAAGGATTGATTCGATTTTCCTTCTGTGGCTTGATAGAGAGGTTACATATAGATCATATTATAGTCAGACACCGCGCAGTCATCTTTTACTTATTCACTCGTGAGTGAACGGTTCGAAAGTAAGGCATGCACTTAATTTCAATTCTGTTATCCTGGTAGGGAGGTTACATATAAATCCGAATATAGTTGGTGTATGGAAGGTGAGGTGGTATAAGACGAGCAAGTTGGCCTTTGCCATTCCATAACCACAGTAAATCGATAGTTTACTTGTAAAACCTCCATTTTGGTTGAACAGTTGGTCAGTCGGACTGCCTGCAAACTTAATTTTTCATGTTCCTTTTTCCTGTTCTATTCTAAAAAATCAATGTACGCAACTGCTCTAAATGGTGGAGTGCCAAGAAAGCCAGAGGATCCTTTTGCCTGTTGCTACAAAGTTACCCCTACTTCTAAAGTCTATTCAAAATACTACGTGTAGTTCAACCTTACTATTCGATGCCCTGCATGTTGTAAACACGGTTTTAGAATCATTATGTTTCAAGACATATAATTTTTTCAAGGAAGTTTTACAAAATAATTGTTCATAGGTTAAAGGAAGCAATTTTATCTCTTACCAAGGCATTTGCATTGATGAGGTCGTTGATGCAGGCAGTGGCGTGAGTTTTCAACTGAAAATAAACATCGAACAACTGAGAACATGATTAATCGGAATAATGTAGCAAAAATCATTGCTTGTCATTCGAAAGTCATACTAAGCAGATTATTACAAATTGTTATGTCATGGCCAATCAACGTTATATTTTCATTATTATGCTTTGAGAGTCTTTGGAGCATCCTTTCTCTACCAAGGCCTTCAATTCCCAGAGCACTATACTTTATTAGAAAGATATTAGATATTTTCAGTACAACAAATGAAATCATATTTTAAGGCGGTAACTTACGTTTCTAAACGCCGACCGTCTGAACGAAGAGTCCGTCAATTTCGGAATGATTTCTGTCCCTCCATTGCCAATGTCGGTTAGATCTTTGGCAATCTTTAGCAGAATTTCTACAAAGAGGCATTTTATCTAAAACCTAGCATATTGGTTTTGTAAATATTGGTTTGAGAATAGAATGGAGAGGCAACTGTTGTGTTGTATGGATATATTCATTGTATGTGCTATTTCTTTTAAAGTTTACTTAGCTAAAGAATATGAAATGTTACTTTAAAGTAAGATATAGTCATTATTGTACAGGGTGCTAATATTAAAATCACCAATGTTTGTAAAATCAGACCAATAAATTTTCAAGCTGATATCCGAAAGGGCGGTTAGCGGGATGAGATCTGAGTTTAATTGTAAATTTGAGGTCAAAATTTTAAATTTCGATCATTAGGAAGAATGCAACAAGCAAATATGATTTAGTGAAACATTTCTTACCGGTATTATTTGCCAGACTTTCCAAAACTGTGAGCAAATTTGCTCTTTGGAGCTCGATATCTTGGAAATTCTGAAAAAAAATCAGTTGATAAGAATCTTGATAACGAATCTAAAGAATGCTGTAATTTTATTGAAACTCACTCAATAAGGTAAGGTCCTAAACCACTCACGCATAAATTTTTTGTTTAGGGATATGGTTATATGTTTGTTTGTGGATATATTTAAAAAATCTCCATAAAATAAACAAGAACAAGAAGAAATCTTAATATTTTAAGTTGGTGTCACAAATGATTGGCTTCAACAGTTAATTCGATCATTTTTGTTGGTGCTATCTTTACAGCTGTGTTTTTTGGGACCGATGCTGTGGCCTCGATTAGATTCAATTTTAGCTCAATACGAGGGTAATCGTTGGATACGTGTTACCAAGGTGCCACTACTTGACGACAAAATGGTAGCTATAATCCGAAACGTTGTTTTCATGAAAGTTATATGAAACAGATCTACAATTTCTTTTTTTTCGTTTTCGTCGGAGAACTCTTTTGAGGAATAACAAATTGCCCCATTTCATTCATTTCTCTGCTTAAATGTAGCCTCTGTATTCTCTGAGGACGAGATAGCAGTGGCATGTTTTCGGAATTTAATGCACCCATTCTCCTGAAGAAATACTCAAAATTTTTATAGCACATCGAATCAAGCAAATAAAAAGGTTAAAATATTCTTAATGGCTCAAAAAGTGCACTTGGAAATAATTGTTAAGCTCACTTTTTTTTGCTTTTGAAAATAGCTTCTTTCTACAAGTTATTGATCTAATATTAAATGATAGATTAAATCGTTTTAGTGAAATAGCTTAGAAATTTGTAATCCCTACTTGTTGAATACATTCGGGCAACATAATAATTTAGACACAGTTCAGAAAATTATTCCTCAGGCCGAACATTACCCCAAAGTTTTCATAAAGTTTCTCAAGAAACAAGGTGGAGTTCTGAAGAGGTTCATAAATTTGTTGTTTGCTTTGAAATGATTTTACTTGTTGTCGGCCGTTTGATTGCCATCTTAACCCTTTAAAACATTAAAAATGTGTAGGAAATTTACAACATACCTAATAACTGTGATGACATAAAATATTATAAGATGATGAAATCGTTTTTTATGTGACGACTTTTCAGTTGTTTTTTTAGTCTTTTCCAGGACAGATAATGTAATTTTTGAGTTTTTTGTAGGAATGAGAGATTTAAAAAAGGCTAATGAAAACTGTACACAAGATAATCCCAAATATTTATTCTTTAAGTGTAACAATCTGCTTAAGCTAAGAAAACCTGGCTCTTTTTTAGTTGATCTCCATGAATTTTTTCAAATCTTGATGATCACAAATCGCTGAATTCAGGAATCAAAACTGCACAACAACTCACCCTTCCTTCGAACTCCGCGTTCCAAAAAATACCAACGGCTTTCTCCGTGTTTTCCATTTTAAAATTGAATAATTATCCAATTAAGACTTGAGAGAAAGTATCCACAAAAGATGCAGTTTATCCGCAAGCGAAATTTGCGTGTAGCAAATCAGTTGAGAAGTTCACAACAAATTTTGTAACGGTTTTTTTCGCTTTTTAAGGTTTGATTAATTTGACGTAAAAACTGACGCAATGTCTCCAAGGATACCACGAACATCATGCATTGCTCATTTGCGACAGTTTGAATGTTTAAAAAGAAATACAGAAGATCTTGTTGAATAAAAACATCCCTAACTCCTATCTTGATATAAATAAAAAGTTCTCCTTGGAGTCTTTTATTGGCATGCTGTTTAATGAAAGTGCATTTATGAATTCAACAACGCAGGGAAACCTTTGAGATTTGTAAACAAGCTACTGTAAATTGTTCAAAATCTTTTTTTAGACCCGGTAGCAAAGTTTGATAATTTTTAGTTAGAGGGTTATTGTGGAGGAAGATAACTGCAATGTTTGAATAAATAAATACTTTGAATTGCTCATTTGCGACAGTTTGAATGTCTAAAAAGAAATGCAGAAGATCTTATTGAATAAAAATATCCTAGCTCCTACACTACCAGGACAAAGTATTGCAACACCTGCGAAGGCGATTAATGGCGGATCACGCAATAACTTTTGTTACAAATAAAATTGCAGATCCAATGAAGCGTTAATTCGAATATTCCATTTTCATTTTTCAAAATTTTAAATCAGCAATTCAAGTAACTTTCAATTAAACAGACATTTAGTGGAGGTGCTTCTGGCTCCGATAAGTACGAAAAATTGCTTTGGAATTGATGCACAAAATTTGTTGATGAAATGCACTGGGATTCTGTTTTATTCTCAATGAAGTTTCTAAGTCAGTTTTTGTTTGAACTTTAAAGAACCTTGTGGATTTCAAATCAGATCATTTTTGTTCGCAACAAGAAATATTCGCTTATTTTAAGGCTAGGTCTTTGTGATGGCCGAGGAAGGACATAGAGTTTGCAGATTTTCAGGTAAATTTGAGTAAAAATGGCCTTATAACGGAGATGTATTGCTTTTTATGATAAAAACTGCCTTCCTCATTTTCCTAGCATTAATTTGATTCCACCGAAGAAACTGTTATGCATTATTTTGACATGTTTCACTGCATTAACTCGCACGTCACTAGTTCATGATTTACCAATTTATATAGGCCTAAATGTACCAAAAAAATTATCCAAGTTTTATTGGAGAATTTTGAGGCTAAAAGAGTCAGAGCTAATAACTTCATTTGTTGTTTCCTAAACTTTCACTATTTTGCTATCATTTTCTATAAAAAGTTGCAAAATCTTTAGAGTCGAGAGACCAGTTACACGAATTTACCACTGCAGATATTTTTTCTTATAACTGTAAAATTTCTTACGTTAATATTGTAACTCTAAATTTTTCGAAATCCTCAATAAATTTCGAAGAATTTGATTCCTGGTTTAGAATGATTATGCTTATTTTTGAGGGGAATCTTTCAGCGTAAAGTTAAAAGTTTACAAAACTTCAAATTTTTTTGATGCCATTTTGATTAGGGTGTTGCAATACTTTTGTCCTGGTAGTGTACACTAGGGTAAGAGATTTCCAGGCATTGTATAAAATTCGACAAGAATACATTGCCCAATGCATTGTTTGAAGATTTTGTGTGTTTGTTTAGTGGGACCTTTGCTGTTTGTTTCTTTAAATATTTTTGTAGTGACATTTATTTCTGTTCCTGGAGAAAATGACGCAGGGCGAAGCATCTTCCCTTGCTGGGTATTTTCGTGTTCTTTCTCTTGTCTTAGGCAGCCTTTCCACTAGCCTGGGTTAAAACATAGCCGGGTTAAAAGTTATCCGTTTTTAAAATGAGTCAATGGAAACGCCACTTTTCTTCGACCCGTTTTTAATCTGTTTCTGATCGTTCCAACTAAGCCGGGTTAAAAAGTATTCAGGGTGAAAAGTTGTAAGAGAAATCAGTATTTGCATCAAAAATCCTTCAATTTCTATCAAATCCTTCAATTTTGCATAATTTACAAAATGTTTCACGTTTTTTGCAGATCTTTATTTTGTCATGCATAATTTCAAGGATCTTTATTTTGTCATGCATAATTTCAAGGTCTCGTCGTATACGTTCAAGAGACTCAAAGTTGTCGAAACTGCTAGTAAAGATGAATAGAAATACAGTGTTTTGATGTGTATTCTCGGTATAAGTAGCAGTTTTTGGCATTGCAATAATATGTTCATATTCTGCTGTTATTCCCAGATATGATGCTTTAAGCTTATGAAAGGTACCTTTTGTAAGAGAGCATACGTTTAAATTCGTTAAGTCAAAAATGTGTAGATTATTGTAGAATTTTTGAGTTATGAATATGTTCGTTAATTATGACGAACTACGTCTTTTCGCCGTTCAAGCCAAAAAAACCTCTGGTGGGCTCGTTTTGGTTCCAACTTCTTGCCACATTTAACTCCAAAACCAAGCTGAATTCAAATATTACTACTAGTTGATCGTTGGAAATGAAAATCTTAATGTTTCTATTACAATATTAGAACAAGAGATTGGCAAAGTCGGTATCGCTTCACTTGGCGGCTGAATGCCGCCTTCGATTATTTCACATCCTTATTTGTTTACTTCTGGTTCTCTATATAGGTCTCTCGATAATCTTTTTTTGTCGCTCATTGCCATTGAATATTATCTCAGTTATATTTGCCAACACTTTAAGATCATTTTAGTTTTGGATATCTTCCTATTCAGCTTCTACATCTTTTGTCCGTATCCTTCCTTTATGGTATCTTTCAAGTCCTATGATCCACCACCTTCCAGCATAGATTTTGCGTTATGTTTCAAATGAGTCGCATGGGTAGATTTTTGTTATATAAGACTCGTTCATTCTTCAATGATATTACTTATCAAGACCAAAACGGATAGAACGTGATTCATAGTTGAATGAAAACTCTTTGCATTGGCCTAATGTTTTTTTTATTTTCTTCACGTACTGAGCGAATTGTGACGTGATTTTATGCTCCTACTCTACCTTCAAAATGCTACATCCACCATCTTTATGAAAAATAAACAGAACAATAAAAAAAGAGACTCAGTATTGTTTTAAACATATTCCATTTATAAAACATTTCTTCATAATACATTATGCTATTATACATTTAAAAAGCAAAGGAATTACTTATTTTTTAATGATTATAAAATATGCTTCAGTTGGTATAATCTCGATCAGATTGATAAATTGAAACATATAAACTATTACTTTATTCATCGAATTGTTCCTACCGCATTAAACAAACTTTTCAAGGTCGCATGCTCATCACATAGAGTAAAAGATGGGGGAAGGGACCTGACCGTGTTCGTTCTCTCTTTAGGGATACTTTAGATCAACGAAACATTGGGCCATATAAAAAAATTATATCCTCTAGTTCTGAAATTTCTACTTGTCAAGCGCGCTTTCATTTCAAACAGGTTTGAAACCTGTTTTCTTATTCGACCTAACCTCGTTTTTCTTAGGGGAATTTTCTTTTCTTTTTGATTCAATCTGTCTCTAGCTAAAGCCCGTTTGTTTACACTACAGTCAGTTGAGAGTCTCTTGTTTTCTTGAGTCTCCCATTCTTCTGTAGCATCTTGCTTCACCTTTTTCTTTGACTGCTCATCTACACCATTAGAGGGCCAATCCTGTGAAGGAACCTCATCTTGTCTCTTACGTTTTCTCCCTTTGATCCCACTCTCCAAAAATTGTGCTTGATCTCGTTGGTCGCAATGTTGATCCACAGCCACAATTCTTTCGAATTTGAAGGGACCAATCTTGAAAATGCCTGCCCCAAACATCATGGCAACGTCGAACTCCTCTTTGCAACTAAGATCGCAGACCTGAAAGACTTGCTCGAGTTCTTTCATTATTTCACTGAAAGATTTTGAGCTTTCAACTGGATCCAGTGTTGCAAAGTCGAGTAAAAGTTGTATTTCGACGCTCAGGACTGTCGTAACCATTGGATTCTGTGGATGAAAAATTCGGAGACATTTTCAGAAATTAGAATGATTTCGAGAAAATAGAATCATAATTTGTGATATCAAGTTGTTACTCATTATCAAGTTAAAAAAAGAACCATGATTTGTAATGCCAAGTTAATGGATGTTAGTTTTTCTGCGTCAAACTTTACTGCCAATATCAAAATTCGATGTTAACAAACCTTTTCTATGTCTTCGATTGTGAACAGAATGTGATCCAAAGATTGGACAATTTGTCGCACAATCTGGCCAATGTCTTCAAGCCTGGTGGATGCGTTATAGTCATCAACCTGAAGAAGTAAATAAACATGAATTATTTTTTTAAAAAATCCAATTATAAGCAAATGGGTTTAAATGTTATTTCTAAAGTAAAGCATTGACTCAAGTTGAATCCTGTAGTCTAGTAGGGATATTGCACAAACATCCGAGTATTACACATACACCTCGAGGAGATGGTAAGAGACGAGCAATATGGGCCTCTGAAACCCCATAGTTTATTGATGTTTCGTATGTGCAGTCTCTAGTTGGTTGTTAACAGTTGGTCCGTCGTCTGACTGCAAACTTAACGTTTCATGCTCCTTTTTTCTTTTCTATTCTCAAAAATCAAGGTACGCAACTGCTAGAGAGAGTTGAGCCCCAGAAAGCCAGGAGACCGTTTTGATAGGTGCCCCACATTTATTTCCTTCTTCTAAAGTCTATTCAGAATGCTACTTAAACCTTGACATTACTATCCGATATCCTGCATGTCGTAAACATGGTCATAGAATAAATTTATTCAAAGACAGGTATTTTTTCAAGAAAGTTTTTCCAAATAATAGTTCGTGGGTATTCAGTTTATCTCTTACCAAGGCATTTGCATTGACGAGGTCGTTGATGCAGGCAGTGGCATGAGTTTTCAACTGAAAATAAACATCGAACAACTGAGAATATTATTAATCGGAATAATGTAGGAAAAATCATTTGAAGTCTTTGGTTTGAAATAAAGTTCCTATCAAAAATAACCATGACTTGCTCAAATTTGCTTGTCATTTGAAAGTCATACTAAGCAGATTATTACAAATTGTTATGTCACGGCCTATTATCGTTATGTTTTCATTATTATGTTTTGAGAGCCTTTGGAACATCCTTTCTACACTTAAGTCTTCAACTTTCTTAGCACAATACTTTGTGATAAGGATATTAAATATTAGATATTTCCGGAGCAACAAATGATATCATATTATAAGGCGGCAACTTACGTTTCTAAACGCCGACCGTCTGAACGAAGAGTCCGTCAATTTTCGAATGATTTCTGTCTTTCCATTGCCAATGTCGGTTAGATCTTTGGCAATCTTTAGCAGAATTTCTACGAAGAGGCATTTTATCTAAAACCTAGCATATTGGTTTTGTGAATATTGGTTTGAGAATAGAATGGAGAGGCAACTGTTGTGTTGTATGGATATATTTTTTGTATGTGCTATTTCTTTTAAAATGTACTTAGCTAAAGAATATGAAATGTTACTTTAAAGTAAGATATAGTCATTATTGTATAGTGTACTAGTATTAGAATCACAAATGTTTGTAAAATCAGACCAATAAATTTTGGAGTTGATATCCGAAAGGGCGGTTAGTGGGATGGGATCTGAGTTTAATTGTAAATTTTAGGTCAAAATTTTAAGTTTCGTTCATTAGGAAGAATACAACAAGCAAATAGGATTTAATGAAATATTTCTTACCAGTATTATTCGCCAGACTTTTAAAAACTGTGAGCAAATTTGCTCTTTGGAGCTCGAATTCTTGGAAATTCTGAAAAAAATCAGTTGATAAGAATCTTGATAACGAATCTAAAGGATGCTATAATTTTCTTGAAACTCACTCAATAAGGTAAGGTCCTAAACGACTCACGCATAGATTTTTTGTTTACGAATATTAACAATAGAATATTTTTTGTTTACGTTTATGAACAGTTAAATCGATCATTTTTGTTGGTGCTATCTTTACAGCTGTGTTTTTTGGAACCGATGCTATGGCCTCGATTAGATTCAATTTTAGCTCAATACGAGGGTAATCGTTGGATACGTGTTACCAAGGTGCCACTGCTTGACGACAAAATGGTAGCTAAAATCCGAAACGTTGTTTTCATGAAAGTTATATGAAACAGATCTAAAATTTCTTTTTTCATTTCGTTTTGGTCGAAAAAAAGATAGGAATTTTTGGGGAAATACAAATTGCCATTCATTTCTCTGCTTAAATGTATTCTCTGTACTATCTAAGAACGAGATAGCAGTGGCATGTTATCGGAATTTAATGCACTCATTCTCCTGCAGAAATACTCAAAATTTTTATAGCAGTTATCGAATCAAGCAAATAAAAAGGTTAAAATATTCTTAATGGCTCAAAAAATGTTAAGCTCTCTACATTTTTTGCTTTTGAAAATAACTTCTTTTTACAAGCTATTGATCTAATATTAAATGATAGATTAGATCGTTTTAGTGAAATACAAGCTTAGAAATTTGTAATCCCTACTTGTTGAATACATTCGGGCAACATAATAATTTAGACACAGTTCAGAAAATTATTCCTCAGGCCGAACATTACCCCAAAGTTTTCATAAAGTTTCTCAAGAAACAAGGTGGAGTTCTGAGGAGGTTCATAAATTTGTTGTTTGCTTTGAAATGATTTTACTTGTTGTCGGCTGTTTGATTGCCATCTTAACCCTTTAAAACATTAAAAATGTGTAGAAAATTTACAACATACCTAATAACTGTGATGATATAAAATATTATAAGATGATGAAATCGTTTTTTATGTGACGACTTTTCAGTTGTTTTTTTAGTCTTTTCCAGGACAGATAATGTAATTTTTGAGTTTTTTGTAGGAATGAGAGATTTAAAAAAGGCTGATGAAAACTGTACACAAGATAATCCCAAATATTTATTCTTTAAGTGTAACAATCTGCTTAAGCTAAGAAAACCTGGCACTTTTTTAATTGATCTCCATGAATTTTTTCAAATCTTGATGATCATAAATCGCTGAATTCAGGAATCAAAACTGCACAACAACTCACCCTTCCTTCGAACTCCGCGTTCCAAAAAACACCAACGGCTTTCTCCGTGTTTTCCATTTTAAAATTGAACAATTATCCAATTAAAACTTGAGAAAAAGTATCCACAAAAGATGAAGTTTATCTGCAAGCGAAATTTGCGTGTAGCAAATCAGTTGAGAAGTTCGCAACAAATTTTGTAACGGTTTTTTCGCTTTTTAAGGTTTGATTAATTTGACGTAGAAACTGTCGCAATGTCTCCAAGGATACCACGAACATCATGCATTGCTCATTTGCGACAGTTTGAATGTTTAAAAAGAAATACAGAAGATCTTGTTGAATAAAAACATCCCTAACTCCTATCTTGATATAATTAAAAAGTTCTCCTTGGAATATGTTATGGGCATGTTGTTTAATTAAAGTGCTTTCATGAATTCAACAACGCAGGGAAACCTTTGAGTATTCTAAAAAAGCTACTGTAAATTGTTCAAAATCTTTATTTAGACCCGGTAGCAAAGTTTTATAATTTTTAGTTAGAGGGTTATTTTGGAGGAAGATAACTGCGATGTTTAAATAAATAAATATCTCTAAATTCTTTGATGCATTGCTCATTTGAGATGCACAGTTTGAATGTTTAAAAAGAAATGCAGAATATCTTGTTGAATAAAAATGTCCTAGCTCCTATTTTGATATCATTAACACAACCCATGCAGATGAAATGAATTCATGAATTCAAAAGGGGAAGAAATCCTTTGACGAGACGACTGCACTTTAACGACCCACTTTTTTGTTTTCTCAATCGTTTACAAAAATTATGAGACTGCTGTTTCTTCCCATCTCACAATAATGCCAATGTCTGTTTGGCGTATTTTGTCTAAATTATTTGGTAAGCCATTCGTAATTTTGACTCTGGCGTCACACAGACTTATTTGTTGCTCAGTCCCTCCACCGTCCCCTTCCTTCCCCCGCCCCCTCCAAGCAATGTTGTTTATTGAGATTTGGTGAAATGCACAAGGGTAAGAGATTTCCAGGCATTGTACAAAATTCGAGAAGAATACATTGCCTAATGAATTGTTTGAAGATTTTGTGTGTTTGTTTTATGGGACCTTGGCTGTTTGTTTCTTTAAAGATTATTGTAGTGACGTTTATTTCAGTTACTGGAGAAAATGACGCAGGGCGAAGCATCTTCCCTTGCAGGGTATTTTCGTGTTCTTCTCTTGTCTTCAGTAATGTCGTAATGTATTTCTAAAGTTTTCAAGTTCTGTTAATAAATACCTAGGGCCCGTCGTGGCCCAGGAAGGCTCAGGTTAGGTCTGTCTCTATTTGATAAGTGTCTTCTTTACCAGCTTGAGTTCACTCCTTGTATTTAATTCTGTTCTGGTTCCATTTGAATTTCTCAATGTGATCTTCGAGACATTTTGATGCTGACTTATAAATTGCACCTTCTTTCAGATGTTGTATATTTTTCGTTTTTTATTAGATGGCTCGTTATTCTCGAAAAATGTTTCAGGAATATCATGTTACCCTAGTTTTTCTAGAGCGCGTGTTTTTATAACCATTCTAAACTGCATAATTGACACACAGTGACAAGAGCCCAAAGCCTTAAATATGGCAAACAGAACGGCGTCGATTTCTGACCTGCATTTTCAGTTTGATTTTGTTATGCTGTTCTGTAAACAAGTTAATCTTATGGAATTGAATCAGCTTTCTTTGAACTTTTTGAATAATTGCGATGATCTGTTAGGTAATGTAAAAATGGCTGCTATCTTGTCTTTCCCAGTTCAAAGTCATCTACATATAACAGCGTTACGAATACCATCGAAATACGTAGCATCTTTCGATGTTCAAAACTTGGTTCGCTTACGATCTATTATGTATTTCTAAGCTCTTCTTTATTTGTTAAAGTCCTGGCGCTAGTAGGGATCTTCTCGATGTTTAAGATATCGCTTGTTTACTTCCCTTATCAGAATTCAATTCAAGTTTTTAAGTATTTGAGGCCATTGTGTATATCATTACTGTCTCGACAAGCTTTTCGTTGCTGTTCCATTCTGCTATGTTTATTTCAATCTTCTACTGGGAAGATGTAAGTCAAATATTGTTTTCTCTGTTTTTGTTTTGTTTGGGATTCTTGATTGACTTTACCTTTTAGTATCTGGGAGTTTTTATATAAACTGACTATATTGCAGAGGAAATGTGTCATAATTTGGATTGCGACTACGAACAGCAAACAACTACATCACTACCTTTAGATTATGTTAGTTCCAAGCATGCGCGCATATTTGCCCATACTTTTGAACTTGTTCCGAACCTTTAATATCAATACGTAGGGTTTTTGACAATACTTGGGAGACTATCTTGAAATAAGTTTGCAATTTTCCATATTTTAGTATTTTGACGGGATTGCAGAAGTTTGCCCATACTTTTGAACTTGTTCCGAACCTTTAATATCAATACTTAGTGTTTTTGACAAAACTTAGGAGACTAACTTGAAATAAGTTTGCAATTTTTCCATATTTTAGTATTTTGACGGAATTGCAGAAATTTGCCCATACTTTTGAACTCTTTCCGAACTTTTAATATCAATACTTGGGGTTTTTGACAATACCTAAGAGACTAACTTGAAATAAGTTTGCAGTTTTTCATATTTTAGTATTTTGACGGAATTGCAGAAGTTTGCCCATACTTTTGAACTTGTTCCGAACCTTTAATATCAATACTTAGTGTTTTTGACAAAACTTAGGAGACTAACTTGAAATAAGTTTGCAATTTTTCCATATTTTAGTATTTTGACGGAATTGCAGAAATTTGCCCATACTTTTGAACTCTTTCCGAACTTTTAATATCAATACTTGGGGTTTTTGACAATACCTAAGAGACTAACTTGAAATAAGTTTGCAGTTTTTTCATATTTTAGTATTTTGACGGAATTGCAGAAATTTGCCCATACTTTTGAACTCTTTCCGAACTTTTAATATCAATACTTGGGGTTTTTGACAATACCTAAGAGACTAACTTGAAATAAGTTTGCAGTTTTTTCATATTTTAGTATTTTGACGGAATTGCAGAAATTTGCCCATACTTTTGAACTCTTTCCGAACTTTTAATATCAATACTTGGGGTTTTTGACAATACCTAAGAGACTAACTTGAAATAAGTTTGCAATTTTTTCATATTTTAGTATTTTGACGGAATTGCAAACTAGAAATAAGTTTTTTGCATCATTATATACTATCATGATGAACCACTTATAATAACTTCTTAACAATGACAGCTGCATCTCCAATAGAATAAGTCTTGAATTTGAAAGCGTTATCATTTGTGAAGATCTCTTTGTGCCATTGATTTTGGTATAATCCCTACTGTATCCCAGAATGATTTATTGCCAGGTTTTCAACTGCTAAACGTTTCAAACTGTTCACAATTTTGTTTCCAGTAACTTTCGAAAATATTTGAGTTAGAATCAAAAGCAGAGAACACGGGTCAAATATGTAACAAAAAATTTGTAAGACACTTACAGTAGAATCCCGATATAACGAACGCTGAAGGGAACCAGAATATAATTCGTTATATCGGGAGTTTGTTAAACCGGGAGGAAATATTTTTTTAGGTCTTTTCGCCGTTCAAGCCAAAAAAACCTCTGGTGGGCTTGTTTTTGTTCCAACTCCTGTCCACATTTAACTCCAAAAACCAAGCTGAATTCAAATATTACTACTAGTTGATCGTTGGAAATGAAAATCTTAATGTTCCTATTACAATATTAGAACAAGAGATTGGCAAAGTCGGTATCACTTCACTTGGCGGCTGAATGCCGCCTTCGATTATTTCACATCCTTATTTGTTTACTTCTGGTTCTGTATCAAGGTCTCTCAATAATCTTTTTTTGTCGCTCATTGCCATTGAATATTATCTCAGTTATATTTGCCGACACTTTCAGATCATTTCAGTTTTGGATATCTTCCTAATCAGCTTCTACATCTTTTGTCCGTATCCTTCCTTTATGGTATCTTTCAAATCCTATGATTCACCACCTTCCAGCATAATTTTTTTGTTATGTTTCAAATGTGTCGCATGGGTAGATTTTTCTTACATAAGACTCGTTAAATCTTCATTGATATTACTTATCAAGACCAAAAAGGATAGAACGTGATTCATAGTTGAGTGAAAACTCTTTGCATTGGCCTAATTTTTTTTTTATTTTCTTCACGTACTGAGCGAATTGTGACGTGATTTTATGCTCCTACTCTACCTTCAAAATGCTACATCCACCATCTTTATTCACTTCTCGATCTCTCAGTGTATACTTGAATTCACTAAAGAACTAAATCACCTATATTTAATTAAAAAAATTTCAAATGTCAGACATAACAGAAAAATAAAAAAAAGAGACTCAGTATTGTTTTGAACATATTCCATTTATAAAACATCTCTTCATAATACATTATGCTATTATACATTAAAAAGGAAAGGAATTACTTATTTTCTGATGATTATAAAGTATGCTTCAGTTGGTATAATCTCGATAAGATTGATAAATTAAAACATATAAACTATTACTTTATTCATCGAATTGTTCCTACCGCATTAAACAAACTTTTCAAGGTTGCATGCTCATCACATAGAGTAAAAGATGGGGGAAGGGACCTGACCCTGTTCGTTCTATCTTTAGAAATACTTTAGATCAACGAAACATTGGGCCAAATAAAAAAATTATATCCTCTAGTTCTGAAATTTCCACTTGTCAAGCGCGCTTTCATTTCAAACAGGTTTGAAACCTGTTTTCTTATTCGACTTAACCTCGTTTTTCTTAGGGGACTTTTCTTTTCTTTTTTATTCAATCTGTCTCTAGCGAAAGCCCGTTTGTTTACACTACAGTCAATTGAGAGTCTCTCGTTTTCTTGAGTCTCCCATTCTTCTGTAGCATCTTGCTTCACCTTTTTCTTTGACTGCTCATCTACACCATTAGAGGGCCAATCCTGTGAAGGAACCTCATCTTGTCTCTTTCGTTTTCTCCCTTTGATTCCACTCTCCAAAAATTGGGCTTGATCTCGTTGGTCGCAACGTTGATCCACAGCCACAATTCGTTCGAATTGGAAGGGACCAATCTTGAAAATGCCTGCCCCAAACATCATGGCAACGTCGAACTCCTCTTTGCAACTAAGATCGCAGACCTGAAAGACTTGCTCGAGTTCTTTCATTATTTCACTGAAAGATTTTGAGCTTTCAACTGGATCCAGTGTTGCAAAGTGGAGTAAAAGTTGTATTTCGACGCTCAGGACTGTCGTAACCATTGGATTCTGTGGATGAAGAATTCAGAGACATTTTCAGAAATTAGAATGATTTCGAGAAAATAGAATCATAATTTGTGATATCAAGTTACTCATTATCAAGTTAGAAAAAGAACCATGATTTGTAATGCCAAGTTAATGGATGTTAGTTTATCTGCGTCAAACTTTACTGCTAATTTCAAAATTCGTTGTAAACAAACCTTTTCTATGTCTTCGATTGTGAAAAGAATGTGATCCAAAGATTGGACAATTTGCCGCACAATCTGGCCAATGTCTTCAAGCCTGGTGGATACGTTATAGTCATCAACCTGAAGAAGTAAATGAATATGAACTAATTTTTTTAAAATTCACTCATGAGCAAATGGTTGGAGATTTTATTTCTAAAGTGAAGCATTGACTCAAGTTGAATTCTGTAGTCTTGTAGGGATATTGCGCAAACATCCGATTATTACACATACACCAGGAGGAGATGGTAAGAGACGAACAATATGGGCCTCTGACACCCCATAGTTTATCGATGTTTCGTATGTGCAGTCTCTAGTTGGTTGTTAACAGTTGGTCCGTCGTCTGACTGCAAACACAATGTTTCATGCTCCTTTTTTCTTTTCTATACTCAAAAATCAAGGTACGCAACTGCTAGAGAGAGTTAAGTCCCAGAAAGCCTGGAAACCGTTTTGATTGGTGCCCCACAGTTATTTCCTTCTTCTAAAGTCTATTCAGAATGCTACTTAAACCTTGACATTACTATCCGATATCCTGCATGTCGTAAACATGGTCATAGAATAAATTTATTCAAAGACAGGTATTTTATCAAGGCATTTTTCCAAATAATAGTTCGTGGGTATCCAGTTTATCTCTTACCAAGGCATTTGCATTGACGAGGTCGTTGATGCAGGCAGTGGCATGAGTTTTCAACTGAAAATAAACATGGAACAACTGAGAACATGTTTAGTCGGAATAATGTAGCCAGCAAAAATCATTTGAAGTCTTTGGTTTGAAATAAAGTTCCTATCAAAAATTACCATGACTTGCTCAAATTTGCTTGTCATTCGAAAGTCATACTAAGCAGATTATTACAAATTGTTATGTCACGGCCAATCAACGTTATGTTTTCATTATTATGCTTTGAGAGCCTTTGAAGCATCCTTTCTCTACTAAGGACTTCAATTCCCAGAGCACAATACTTTGTGAGAAGGATATTAGATATTAGATATTTTCAGTACAACAAATGAAATCATATTCTAAGGCGGCAACTTACGTTTCTAAACGCCGACCGTCTGAACGAAGAGTCCGTCAATTTCCGAATGATTTCTGTCTTTCCATTGCCAATGTCGGTTAGATCTTTGGCAATCTTTAGCAGAATTTCTACGAAGAGGCATTTTATCTAAAACCTAGCATATTGGTTTTGTGAATATTGGTTTCAGAATGGAATAGGGAGGCAACTGTTGTGTTGCATGGATATATTCATTGTATGTGCTATTTCTTATAAAGTGTACCTAGCTAAAGAATTTGAAATGTTACTTTAAAGTAAGATAAAGTCATTATTGTACAGTGTACTAATATTAAAATTACCAATGTTTGTAAAATCAGTCCAATAAATTTTCAAGCTGATATCCGAATGGGCGGTTAGTGGGATGGGATCTGAATTTAATTGTAAATTTTAATCCAAAATTTTAAATTTCGTTCATTAGGAAGGATACAACAAGCAAATATGATTTAATGAAACATTTCTTACCAGTATTATTTGCCAGACTTTTAAAAACTGTGAGCAAATTTGCTCTTTGGAGCTCAACATCTTGGAAATTCTGAAAAAAATCAGTTGATAAGAATCTTGATAACGAATCTAAAGAATGCTATAATTTTCTTGAAACTTTCTCAATAAGGTAAGGTCCTAAACGACTCACGCATAAATTCTTTGTTTATGGTTATGTTTATACGTTTGTTTGTGGGTATGTTTAAAAATCTCCATAAAATAAACAAGAACAAGAAGAAATCTTAATTTTTGAAGTTGGTGTCACAAATGATTGGCTTCAACAGTTAATTCGATCATTTTTGTTAATGCTATCTTTACAGCTGTATTTTTTGGAACCGATGCTATGGCCTCGATTAGATTCAATTTTAGCTCAATACGAGGGTAATCGTTGGATACGTGTTACCAAGGTGCCACTGCTTGACGACAAAATGGTAGCTAAAATCCGAAACGTTGTTTTCATCAAAGTTTTATGAAACAAATCTAAAACTTCTTTTTTTTCGTTTTGGTCTGAGAAATAGAAAAGTTTTTTAGGGAAAAACAAACTGTCCTATTTTATTCATTTCACAGTTAGAATGTATCCTCTGTATTCTCTAAGGACGAGATAACAGTGGCATGTTATCGGAATTTATTGCACTCATTCTCATGAAGAAATACTCAAAATTTTTAGAGCACTTCGAATCAAGCAAATAAAAAGGTTAAAATATTCTTAATGGCTCAAAAACTGCACTTGGAAATAATTGTTAAGCTCTCTACATTTTTTGCTTTGGAAAATAACTTCTTTTTACAAGTTATTGATCTAATATTAAATGATAGATTAGATCGTTTTAGTGAAATAGCTTCGGAATTTGTAATCCCTACTTGTTGAATACATTCGAGCAACATAATAATTTAGACAGTTCAAAAAATTATTCCTCAGGCCGAACATTACCCCAAAGCTTTCATAAAGTTTCTCAAGAAACAAGGTGGGGTTCTGAGGAGGTTCATAAATTTGTTGTTTGTTTTGAAACGATTTACTTGTTGCCATCTTAACCCTTTGAAATATTAAAAATGTGTTCGAAATTCACAACATATCTTATAACTGTGATGAAATAAGGTATTTTAAGATTAAAAAATCGTTTTTTAATTAGCGACTTTTCAGTTTTTTTTATTTGAATCTTTTCCATGACTGAAGATGTAATTTTTGAGCTTTTTGTAGGAATGAGAGATTTAAAAAAGGCTGATGAAATTGTACAGAAGATAATCCCAAAAATTTATTCTTTAAATTTATCAATCTGTTTAAGCTAGAATAATTTGCTCTTTTTTAATTGATCTCCATGAATTTTTTCAAATCTTGATGATCATAAATCGCTGAATTCAGGAATCAAAACTTCGCAACAACTCACCCTTCCTTCGAACTCCGCGTTCCAAAAAACACCAACGGCTTTCTCCGTGTTTTCCATTTTAAAATTGAATAATTATCCAATTAAGACTTGAGAAAAAGTATCCACAAAAGATGCAGTTTATCCGCAAGCGAAATTTGCGTGTAGCAAATCAGTTGAGAAGTTCGCAACAAAATTTGTAACGGTTTTTTCGCTTTTTAAGGTTTGATTAATTTGACGTAAAAACTGTCGCAATGTTTCCAAGGATACCACGAACATCATGCATTGCTCATTTGCGACAGTTTGAATGTTTAAAAGGAAATGCAGAAGATCTTATTGAATGAAAATGTCCTAGCTCCTATTTTGATATAAATATAAAGTTCTCCTTGGATTCTTGTTAGTTATCGGCATGTTGTTTCATGAAAGTGCATTTATGAATTCAACAACGCAGGGAAACCTTTGAGATTTGTAAACAAGCTACTGCAAATTGTTCAAAATCTTTATGTAGACCCAGTAGCAAAGTTTGATAATTTTTATTTAGAGGGTTATTGTGGAGGAAGACAACTGCAATGTTTAAATAAATAAATACTTTGAATTGCTCATTTGCGACAGTTTGAATGTCTAAAAAGAAATGCAGAAGATCTTGTTGAATAAAAATATCCTAGCTCCTATCTTGATATAAATAACACAATCCATGCAGATGAAATGAGTTCATGAATTCAAAATCGAATGAAATCCTTTGACGAGACGACTGCACTTTAACGACCCACTTTTTTGTTTTCTCAATCGTCCACGAAAATTTTGAGACTGCTTTTTCCTCCCATCTCACAATAATGCCAACGTCTGTTTGGCGTATTTTGTTGAAATTATTTAGTAAACCATTTGTAATTTTGACTCAAGCCTCACACAGACTTAGTTGTTGCTCAGTCCCTCCACCGTCCCCTTCCCTCCCCCGCCTCCTCCAAGCAATGTTGTTTGTTGAGATTTGGTGAAATACACTAGGGTAAGAGGTTTCCAGGCATTGTACAAAATTCCACAAATATACATTGCCCAATGCATTGTTTGAAGATTTTGTGTGTTTGTTTTGTGCGACCTTGGCTGTTTGTTTCTTTAAAGATTATTGTAGTGACGTTTATTTCAGTTACTAGAGAAAATGAGGCAGGGCGAAGCATCTTCCCTTGCTGGGTATTGTCGTGTTCCTCTCTTGTCTTCAGTAATGTCTTAATGTACTTATATAGTTTTCAAGTTCTGTTAATAAATACCTAGGGCCCTTCGTGGCTCAGGAAGGCTCAGGTTAGGTCTGTCTCTATTTGATAAGTGTCTTCTTTACCAGCTTGAGTTCACTCCTTGTATTTAATTCTGTTCTGGTTCCATTTGAATTTCTCAATGTGATCTTCGAGACATTTTGATGCTGACTTATAAATTGCACCTTCTTTCAAATGTTGTATATTTTTGGTTTTTTATGAGATGGCTCGTTATTCTCGAAAAATGTTTCAGGAATATCATGTTACCATACTTTTTCTAGAACGTGTGTTTTTATAACCATTCTTTGCTGCATAAAGGACATACACGAACAAGAGCCCAAAGCCTTAAAAATGGCAAACAAAACGGCGTCGATTTCTGACCTGCATTTTCAGTTTGATATTGTTATGCTCTTCTGTAAACAATTTTATCTTATGGAATCGAATCAGCATTCTTTGAACTTTTTAAATAATTGAGCAATGCAATAATCTGTAAGATAATGTAAAAATGGCTGCTATCTTGTCTTACCCAGTTCAAAGTCATCTACATATAACAGCATTGCGATTACCATCGAAATATACGTAGCATCTTTCAATGTTCAAAACTTGGTTCGCTTACGATCTATTATGTATTTCTAAGCTCTTCTTTATTTGTTAAAGTCCTGACGCTAGTAGGGATCTTCTCAATGTTTAAGGTATCGCGTGTTCACTTCCCTTATTAGAATTAAATTGAAGTTTTTAAGTATTTGAGGCCATTGTGGATATCATTACTGTCTCGACAAGCTTTTCGTTGCTGTTCCATTCTGCTATGTTTATTTCAATCTTCTACTGGGAAGATGTAAGTCAAATATTGTTTTCTCTGTTTTTCTTTTGTTTGGGATTCTTGATTGACTTTACCTTTTAGTATCTGGGAGTTTTTATATAAACTGACTATATTGCAGAGTAAATGTGTCATAATTTGGATTGCTACTACGAACAGCAAACAACTACATCACTACCTTTAGATTATGTTAGTACCAAGCATGCGCGCATATTTGCCCATACTTTTGAACTCTTTCCGAACTTTTAATATCAATACTTAGAGTTTTTGACAATACCTAAGAGACTAACTTGAAATAGGTTTGCAATTTTTTCATATTTTAGTATTTTGACGGATTTGCAGAAATTTTCCCATACTTTTGAACTCTTTCCGAACTTTTAATATCAATACGTAGAGTTTTTGACAATACCTGAGAGACTAACTTGAAATAAGTTTGCAATTTTCCATATTTTAGTGTTTTGACTGAATTGCAGAAGTTTGCCCATACTTTTGAACTTGTTCCGAACCTTTAATATCGGCACTTAGAGTTTTTGACAATACTTAGGAGACTAACTTGAAATAAGTTTGCAATTTTTTAATATTCTAGTATTTTGACGGAATTGCAAACTTTAAATAAGTTTTTTGCATCATTATATACTATCATGATTAACCAATTATAATAACTTCTTAACAACGACAGCTGCATCTCCATTAGAATTTGTTTTGAATTTGAAAGCGTTATCATTTGTAAAGATCTCTTCGTGCCATTGATTTTGGTATAATCCCTACTGTATCATTAGTGAGTGTGCCTAGAATGATTTATTGCCAGGTTTTCAACTGCTAAACGTTTCAAACTGTTCACAATTTTGTTTCCAGTAACTTTCGAAAATATTTTAGTTAGAATCAAAACCAGAGGACACGGGTCAAATATGTAACAAAAAATTTGTAAGACACTTGCCATCTTTCAGTAGAATCCCGATATAACGAACGCTGAAGGGAACCAGAATATAATTCGTTATATCTGGAGTTTGTCAAACCAGGAGGAAATGTTTTTTAGGTCTTTTCGCCGTTCAAGCCAAAAAAACCTCCGGTGGGCTTGTTTTTGTTCCAACTCCTGTCCACATTTAACTCCAAAAACCGAGCTGAATTCAAATATTACTACTAGTTGATCGTTGGAAATGAAAATCTTAATGTTTCTATTACAATATTAGACCAAGAGATTGGCAAAGTCGGTATTACTTCACTTGGCGGCTGAATGTCGCCTTCGATTATTTCACATCCTTATTTGTTTACTTCTGGTTTTCCATCTGGGTCTCTCAATAAACGTTTTTCGTCGCTCATTGCTAATGTCTCATATGTAAAAAGGTATTCGTTAGTCTCAATGTATTCATTCGCATTTGACACGATTAAAATATGACACGATTAAAATATTTATCTCGTGCTCTGCGTGTATCAACCAATGCTTTAAATGTATCATCAGCATGTTTGGCCGATTAAAAACACGATTTCCCCCAAGACTAAGTGCTAAATGAACACGGGAAATGAGTAAACAGAAATTGCAGATGTAAAATATATGAAAAGTCTGTTATATCGAGGGTAATTATGATGAAGGGACCTATATCCGGGATTCGTTATACCGAGACAATTTGTAAGGTGTTTGTAAGGAGCAGAATCCAAAGGACCAGACATTTAGTTCCTTATACCAGGAAGTTCGTTATATCCGGGGTTTGTTATATCGGGATTCCACTGTATATTATCTCAGTTATATTTGCGGACACTTTCAGATCATTTTAATTTCGGATTTCTTTCTAGTCAGCTTCTACTTCTCTTGTCCGTATCCTCCCTTTATAATATCTTTCAAATCCTATGATTCACCACCTTCCAGCATAGATTTGTTGTTATGTTTCAAATGAGTCTCATGGGTGGATTTTTGTTACATAAGACTCGTTCATTCTTGAATGATATTACTTATCAAGACCAAAAAGGATAGAACGTGATTCATAGTTGAATAAAAACTCTTTGCATTGGCCTAATGTTTTTTATTTTCTTCACGTACTGAGCGAATTGTGACGTGATTTTATGCTCCTACTCTGTCTTCAAAATGCTACATCCACCATCTTTATTCACTTCTCAATATCTCAGTGTATACTTAAATTTACTCAGGGCCGTAGCTACGGGGGTGGTGGGGGAGTTCGACCCCCCAGACCCTAACCTTGTCGGCAAATCTTCGAAAATGGAAGTTTTGTCGTCAACCTCTTGGAAACTGGCAAATTCTTAGAAGAGAGACATAGAATTTGTCCATTGTCAAATAGATATTATCGGTTGTTGATGACAGCACCAGTCACAGTTGAAATTTGTGAAAACCTAACAAGAATAATTTAGGATCGTTCAAACTCTCTCGTGCTAAAGACCAGGCTCGGTTAAGGCCCGTGTGGCAAAGTGGCGATCCCACCGGGCCCTCAAATTACGGGCCCTTTCTGCAAAAGTTGGAGTGGAGAAGACAATTTTCATAAACTGGAAAATACATACAGTCACAGCCAAGGCCCCTAACATGCGTGCTGGCTTCACAACTAAGCATCAAAATGAAGTCTGCGCGCAGGCCAAAGGGCCCCACTATGACCAACATCCACTATACAAAAATTCTAGTTCAAATTTCGCACAAAGACAAATTTGTCCTACTTCCTAGAGAAATAATTTGAAACTGCATGTAGAGATCAAGAAGCTGTTGTTTTTAGTTAGTTGTCTAGAGTCGCCATTCCTACATTTCTAGCTAATAATGACCTTCCACACATGATCGAACGTTGCCTAGGGTCATATCACTTTATGGGAAGAAAGTTGTGCAGGAAGAAAGCTTCTCAAATTGGGAAATTTTTGTAATCAACTTTGCGAAAGAAGCGAAATAGGAGCTTTGCAATAACAAACTTTCGCGTTTTAGCGAAAATCATGGACTTTGCGTGAAAAACATTTCTATTCAATTGATGTTTCCTTCTATTTTTATTCCACATGATACCAGCAAAGCAACGAAAAAGATGTAAAATTTGTCCAACAGAATAATTCTTCGTCAAAGTTTTCAAGTGGATCAACATCAAAATTTTCTGGTTATTTCACAAAAATAAATTTTCGAAAATTTTGTATTTCAGGAAGTTTTGCATATCAATCATCCGGGATTTTAGGCCATAAACGCTAAAAAATGCAAAGGTTCCTTCCTTCGCAAGTTTTTTTTTCCGTGACAATCTCTTTCCGCGAAAGTTTTTTCCTTGAAAGTAGAAAGCAACAGTTAAAGGCCTTCCCCTGCTGCCCTTTAAGTTTTTTTTTTCTCTGAAACCCTCTGCAAGGTGCATGCTTAAAAGTTATAATGAAGTTTTTCTGTTTGCTAATTATTAAATAAACAACGTGTTTAGAATAATAAAGTTTGGTACAGACTAAGGAATCGGTATCGTTTTAAGTTCTCTCAATGATGTTTTAGTGTGAATAAGTTTGTAGGTCACTAGATTTCAAATTGTAGCCAAGATACTAACCTAGACAAATGAAAAGATGACACATAAAAGAAAAGAACATGCAGGTTGAATTTTTGATTATTTTCTTGGCTCAATTTCAGAATACTATATATATATATTTATATATTAGGTTCGCTTGAAAATGTTGCAAAAAATTGTCACACTAGGATTGTTATTTTGAACTGTTATGACAGTTTCTTAAATTTACAAATAGAACCATTGTTTCGCTGTTATTATGCAAAGTTTAACTGCATACATAGAATCCTTGATTGAAATAGAGAACCACAACCGTCAATAATTGATTTGAACTGAACATATTTTAGCCTTTTCTCGCATTAGTTGGTGTGGCTCAAGAAAGTTTATCTGTCACACCCTGAGCCGGGACCTTTTGGTTTGCTGCCACCCTGCAATTGTGACACTGAGCAAAACCGAAATATAGAACTTCGAGAAAAAATATTCGCGAGTTTTATCAATGATAATTATAATCGTTTGAGAACCACGCCCGTATCTGTTGCCACGCCAATTTCGTCGGCAAACCACTGGTTTTGCTCCCCCCCCACCTCCATGAAAATTTTCTAGTGACGGCCCTGAATTCACCAAAGAACTAAATCACCTATATTTGAAAAAAAGTTCAAATGTCAGACATAACAGAAGACTAAAAAAGACTCAGTATTGTTTTAAAAATATTCCATTTATAAAACATCTCCTCATAATACATTATGCTATTATACATTTAAAAAGCAAAGGAATTACTTATTTTCTAATGATTATAAAGTATTCTTCAGTTGGTATAATCTCGATCAGATTGATAAATTAAAACCCATAAACTATTACTTTATTCATCGAATTGTTCTTACCGCATTAAACAAACTTTTCAAGGTCGCATGGTCATCACATAGAGTAAAAGATGGGGGAAGGGACCTGACCCTGTTTGTTCTCTCTTTAGAGATACTTTAGATCAACGAAACATTGGGCCATATAAAAAAATTATATCCTCTAGTTCTGAAATTTCTACTTGTCAAGCGCGCTTTCATTTCAAAAAGGTTTGAAACCTGTTTTCTTATTCGACCTAACCTCGTTTTTCTTAGGGGAATTTTCTTTTCTTTTTGATTCAATATGTCTTTAGCGAAAGCCCGTTTGCTTACATTACAGTCAGTGGAGAGTCTCTTGTTTTCTCGAGTCTCCCAATCTTCTGTAGCATCTTGCTTCACCTTTTTCTTTGACTGCTCATCTATACCATTAGAGGACCGATCATGTGAAGAAACCTCATCTTGTCTCTTTCGTTTTCTCCCTTTGATCCCACTCTCCAAAAATTGGGCTTGACCTCGTTGGTCGCAACATTGATCCACAGCCACAATTCTTTCGAATTTGAAGGGACCAATCTTGAAAATGCCTGCCCCAAACATCATGGCAACATCGAACTCCTCTTTGCAACTAAGATCGCAGACCTGAAAGAGTTGCTCGAGTTCTTTCATTATTTCCCTGAAAGATTTTGAGCTTTCAACTGGATCCAGTGTTGCAAAGTGGAGTAAAAGTTGTATTTCGACGCTCAGGACTGTCGTAACCATTGGATTCTGTGGATGAAGAATTCGGAGACATTTTCAGAAATTAGAATGATTTCGAGAAAATAGAATCATAATTTGTGATATCAAGTTACTCATTATCAAGTTAAAAAAGAACCATGATTTGTAATGCCAAGTTAATGGATGTTAGTTTATCTGCATCAAACTTTACTGCTAATATCAAAATTCGATGTTAACAAACCTTTTCTATGTCTTCGATTGTGAATAGAAGGTTATCCAAAGATTGGACAATTTGTCGCACAATCTGGCCAATGTCTTCAAGCCTGGTGGATGCGTTATAGTCATCAACCTGAAGAAGTAAATAAACATGAACACAATTTTTAACAATTTGCTGTTGAGCAAATGCTTCGAGACCTAAGACTAAAGTGAAGGATTGACTCGATTTCCCTTCTGTAGCTTGATAAAGAGGTTACATATAGATTAGATTATAGTCAGACACTACGCAGTCATCTTTTACTTATTCACTCGTGAGCCAACGGTTCGAAAGTAAGGCATGCACTTAATTTCAATTCTGTAATCCTGGTAGAGAGGTGACATATAGATCAGATTATAGTCGGGCATCGCGCAGTCATCTTTTACTTATTCACTCGTGAGCCAATGGTTCGAAAGTAAGGCATGCACTTAATTTCAATTCTGTAATCCTGGTAGAGAGGTGACATATAGATCAGATTATAGTCGGGCATCGCGCAGTCATCTTTTACTTATTCACTCGTGAGCCAATGGTTCGAAAGTAAGGCATGCACTTAATTTCAATTCTGTAATCCTGGTAGAGAGGTGACATATAGATCAGATTATAGTCGGGCATCGCGCAGTCATCTTTTACTTATTCACTCGTGAGCCAATGGTTCGAAAGTAAGGCATGCACTTAATTTCAATTCTCTAATCCTGGTAGGGAGGTTACATATAAATCAGATTATAGTTGGTGTATGGAAGGTGAGGTGGTATAAGACGAGCAAGTTGGGCCTTTGCCATTCCATAACCACAATATATCGATAGTTTATTTGTAAACCTCCATTTTGGTTGAACAGTTGGTCAGTCGGACTGCCTGCAAACTTAATTTTTCATGTTCCTTTCTCCTGTTCTATTCTAAAAAATCAATGTACGCAACTGCTCTAAATGGTGGAGTGCCAAGAAAGCCTGAAGATCCTTTTGCCTGTTGCTGCAAAGTTACCCCTACTTCTAAAGTCTATTCAAAATACTACGTGTAGTTTAACCTTACTATTCGATGCCCTGCATGTTGTAAACACGGTTTTAGAATCATTATGTTTCAAGACATATAATTTTTTCAAGGAAGTTTTACAAAATAATTGTTTATAGGTTAAAGAAAGCAATTTTATCTCTTACCAAGGCATTTGCATTGACGAGGTCGTTGATGCAGGCAGTGGCGTGAGTTTTCAACTGAAAATAAACATCGAACAACTGAGAACATGATTAATCAGAATAATGTAGCAAAAATCATTTGAAGTCTTTGGTTTGAAAAAAAGTTCCTATCAAAAATTATCATGACTTGCTCAAATTTGCTTGTCATTCGAAAGTCATACTAAGCAGATTATTACAAATTGTTATGTCATGGCCAATGATCGTTATGTTTTCATTATTATGCTTTGAGAGCCTTTGGAGCATCCTTTCTCTACTAAGGCCTTCAATTCCCAGAGCACTATACTTTATTAGAAAGATATTAGATATTTTCAGTACAACAAATGAAATAATATTCTAAGGCGGTAACTCACGCTTCTAAACGCCGACCGTCTGAACGAAGAGTCCGTCAATTTCCGAATGATTTCTGTCTTTCCATTGCCAATGTCGGTTAGATCTTTGGCAATCTTTAGCAGAATTTCTACAAAGAGGCATTTTATGTAAAACCTAGCATATTGGATTTGTGAATATTGGTTTCAGAATGGAATAGGGAGGCCACTGTTGTGTTGTACATATAAATTCATTGTATATGCTATTTCTTATAAAGCGTACTTAGCTAAAGAATATGAAGTGTTACTTTAAAGTAAGATATAGTCATTATTGTACAGTGTACTAATATTAAAATCACCAATGTTTGAAAAATGAGTCCAATAAATTTTCAAGCTGATATCCGAATGGGCGGTTAGTGGGATGGGATCTGAATTTAATTGTAAATTTTAGGCAAACATTTTAAATTTCGATCATTAGGAAGAATACAACAAGCAAATATGATTTAATGAAACATTTCTTACCGGTATTATTTGCCAGACTTTCCAAAACTGTGAGCAAATTTGCTCTTTGGAGCTCGACATCTTGGAAATTCTGAAAAAAATCCATTTTATAAGAATCTTGATAACGAATCTAAAGGACGCTGTAATTTTCTTGAAACTCACTCAATAAGGTAAGGTCCTAAACGACTCACGCATAAATTTTTTGTTTAGGGATATGTTTTTATGTTTGTTTGTGGGTATGTTTAAAAAATCTCCATAAAATAAACAAGAACAAGAAGAAATCTTAATATTTGAAGTTGGTGTCACAAATGATTGGCTTCAACAGTTAAATCGATCATTTTTGCTGGTGCTATCTTTACAGCTGTGTTTTTTGGGTCCGATGCTGTGGCCTCGACTAGATTCAATTTTAGCTCAATACGAGGGTAATCGCTGGATACGTGTTACCAAGGTGCCACTGCTTGACGACAAAATGGTAGCTAAAATCCGAAACATCGTTTTCGTGAAAGTTTTATGAAACAAATCTAAAACTTCTTTTTTTTCGTTTTGGTCGGAGAACTGTTTTGGAAAATAACAAATTGCCCTTTTTAATTCATTTCTCTTCTTAAATGTATCCTCTGTATTCTCTAAGGACGAGATAGCAGTGGCATGTTATCGGAATTTATTGCACTCATTCTCCTGAAGAAATACTCAAAATATTTATAGCACATAGAATCAAGCAAATAAAAAGGTTAAAATATTATTGATGGCTCAAAAATTGCACTTGAAAATTAATATTAAGCTCTCTTTATTTTCTTCCTTTGAAAATATCCTCTTCTTATAAGTTATTCAGTCTTTTAGTAAAACTTTATTTCTGAGACGTAAGGGACGTAAATACAGGTTGTTAACAAACTTTGTCTGTTGAATCTTGTTTGATGTCGTCTTAGAACATTTCTCATTTTCACAACCGTTCTTATCGTTTATCCTTCACTCAAATGTTTATAATCGAAAAATACTCAGTTAACCCTGTTGATTTCTGTAGTGGAGTACCCTTGCCAATGCTTTATAATCTGCTGACATTATGACCGAAAACATTTTGTTTTTATTCATTTGCAGTTTAATTTTTCCTTTTGTGCCTCAACTAGCAGAAATTTCCCTTATTTGCATTGACAGAATTATCCCCTTACAAGAATTTGGCTATGAAATGACAGATTAGATCGTTTTAGACAAATCACTTTCTTTGTCGTCGACCGTTTGATCGTCATATTAACTCTTAAAACATTAAAAATGTGTAGAAAATTTACATCATACCTAATTTCCTACAAGTTTTACTAAATAAAATATAATAAGATAATAAAATCTTTTTTGAACTGACGACTTTTCAATTTTCTTGTTCTAGTGTTTTCCAGGATTGAAGATGTGTTTATTTTGAGCTTTTTAGACATGATATATTCAAAATATGGCTTATTTTACTAAACAACCCCAAAGATGGATTCTTCAAGTGTATCAATCTGCTTAAGCTAGAAAACTTGTCTTTTTTTTAATTGATCTCCATGAATATTTTCAAATCTTGATGATCATAAATCGCTGAATTCAGGAAACAAAACTTCGCAACAACTCACCCTTCCTTCGAACTCCGCGTTCCAAAAAACACCAACGGCTTTCTCCGTGTTTTCCATTTTAAAATTGAATAATTATCCAATTAAAACTTGAGAAAAAGTATCCACAAAAGATGCAGTTTATCCGCAAGCGAAATTTGCGTGTAGCAAATCAGTTGAGAAGTTCACAACAAATTTTGTAACGGTTTTTTTCTGCTTTTTAAGGTTTGATTAATTTGACGTAAAAACTGTCGCAATGTCTCCAAGGATACCACGAACATCATGCATTGCTCATTTGCAACAGTTTGAATGTTTAAAAAGAAATGCAAAATATCTTGTTGAATAAAAACATCCCTAACTCCTATCTTGATATAAATAAAAAGTTCTCCTTTGAATATGTTATCGGCATGTTGTTTAATGAAAGTGCATTTATGAATTCAACAACGCAGGGAAATCTTTAAGAATTGTAAACAAGCTACTGTAAATTGTTCAAAATCTTTATGTAGACCCGGTAGCAAAGTTTGATAATTTTTAGCTAGAGGGTTATTGTGGAGGAAGGTAACTGCAATGTTTAAATAAATAAATATCTCTAAATTTTTTGATGCATTGCTCATTTGCGACAGTCCCTCCACCATCCCCTTCCTTCCCCCGCCCCCTCCTAGCAATGTTGTTTGTTGAGATTTGGTGAAATACACTAGGGTAAGAGGTTTCCAGGCATTGTACAAAATTCCACAAGATTACATTGCCCAATGCATTGTTTGAAGATTTTGTGATTTGGCTGTTTGTTTCTTTAAAGATTATTGTAGTGACGTTTATTTCAGTTCTGGAGAGAATGACGCAGAGTGAAGCATCCTCCCTTGCAGGGTATTTTCGTCTTCTTCTCTTGTCTTAGTCTTGACATCTACATAGTTTTCAAGTTCTGTTAATAAATACCTAGGGCCCTTCGTGGCTCAGGAAGGCTCAGGTTAGGTCTGTCTCTATTTGATAAATGTCTTCTTTACCAGCTTGAATTTACTCATTGCATTTAATTCTGTTATGGTTTCATTTGAATTTCTAAGTGTGATCTTGGAGACATTTGGATGCTGACCTAGAAATTGCACCCTACCTTCTTTCAAATGATGTATATTTTTTGTTTTTTGTGAGAGAGCTCATTATTCTCGAACAATGTTTCAGGAATATCATGTTACCATACTTTTTCTAGAGTGTGCTTTCATAACCATTCTAAACTGCATATCTGACACACACGAGCAAGAGCCCAAAGCCTTAAAAATGGCAAACAAAACTTTGCAATTTCTGTCCTTCATTTTCAGCTTGAAATTGTTATGCTGTTGTGTAAACAAGTTAATCTTATGGAATTTAATCAGCTTCATTTGAACTCTGAGCTGCTGTCTTGTCTTTCCCAGTTCAAAGTCATCTACATATAACAGCATTACGATTACCATCGAAGTGCAAAGCATCTTTCTATATTCAAAACTTTGTTCGTTTACGATCTGTTGAATATCATTAAACTTTTCTCTTATTAAGGCCCTGACGCTAGTAGAGACCTTCTTGATGTTCAATATATTGCTTGATATTTTACTTCTCTTATCAGATTTCTTTTTTATAAGCATTTGAGGCCGATCTGGATATCATTAATGTCTTTAAGTTGCTGTTTAATCCAGCTATGTTAGTTTCATTCTTCTGTTGGGTCAATTTAAGTCAAATGTTGTTTTGCCTCTTTTTCTTTTGTTTGGGAATTCTAGATTGACTTTATCTTTCAATATCTGGGAGTTTTTATATAAACTGACTACGAATAGCAAATCAGTAAATGTGTCATAATTTGGATTGCGACTACGAATAGCAAACAACTATATCACTACCTTTAGGCCCCGTTCACACGGGAACGCAATCGTTCCGTTCCGTTCTTATCCGTTCCGAAAAGCGTAACGCTCAGGGGTTGTGTTCACACGGGAACGCTTCAAACGACATCGTTCCGTCCCAAAAAGTGGAACGATAAAATAAGTGATACGAAAAGTGGAACGGTACGCAATCGTTCCGTTCCGTTCCCGTGTGAACGCGCAGAATTGGTCCAGAAAATGGAATGATAAGTGTTTTGCCTTTGGCGCATGCGTCTGTGTTGTTGTTGAGGGAAGGAAAAGGTGACAATAAGAAACTCAGCGAAAAAAATGGAGGATTTCAAAAACACCATTGGGCTGAATCTCGCCGTCAGTCCATTTAAAAGATTCAACACCATTCTGCAAACATTGAAATTCCTTCCTTTTAGGGTTGGCTTCACTTTTCCCACGAGCTTCCTTATTTTGGGGCGCTTTTGTATTCTCCATTTTTTCAAATTGTTTAAAAAATTCAGAGATAGCTCAGAGATAAATCGAAATGATGAAATCTATCTCCATTATGGACATGCGCATTAAAAATCATTCTCTTATTTTGGCGCGCAAATTGCAGAACGGAACGATTGCGTTCCCGTCTGAACATAAACAAAAATCGATACGCAATCGTTCCGTTACCGTGTGAACAGTATACTTTTCCGTTCCAGAAACTGGAACAAAAATGGAACGGAACGATTGCGTTCCCGTGTGAACGAGGCCTTAGATTATGTTAGTTCCAAGCTCGCGCAAATATTTGGCCATACTTCGGCGACTGATTTGAAATAAGTTGCAATTTGTTCATATTTTAGTATTTTGACGGAATTGCAGAAATTTTCCCATACTTTTGAACTCTTTCCGAACCTTTAATATCAATACTTAGGGTTTTTGACAATACTTAGGAGACTATCTTGAAATAAGTTTGCAGTTTTTTCATATTTTAGTATTTTGACGGAATCGCAGAAATTTTCCCATACTTTTGAACTCTTTTCGAACCTTTAATATCAATACTTAGGGTTTTTGACAATACTTAGGAGACTATCTTGAAATAAGTTTGCAGTTTTTTCATATTTTAGTATTTTGACGGAATCGCAGAAATTTTCCCATACTTTTGAACTCTTTTCGAACCTTTAATATCAATACTTAGGGTTTTTGACAATACTTAGGAGACTATCTTGAAATAAGTTTGCAGTTTTTTCATATTTTAGTATTTTGACGGAATTGCAGAAATTTGCCCATACTTTTGAACTCTTTCCTAACCTTTAATATCAGTACTTAGAGTTTTTGACAATACTTAGGAGACTAACTTGAAATAAGTTTGCAATTTGTTCATATTTTAGTATTTTGACGGAATTGCAAACTTTAAATAAGTTTTTTGCATCATTATATACTATCATGATTAACGAATTATAATAACTTCTTAACAACGACAGCTGCATCTCCATTAGATTTTGTCTTGAATTTGAAAGCGTTATCATTTGTAACGATCTCTTCGTGCCATTGATTTTGGTATAATCCCTACTGTATCCCAGAATGATTTATTGCCAGGTTTTCAACTGCTGAACGTTTCAAACTGTTCACAGTTTTATTTCCAGTAACTTTCGAAAATATTTGAGTTAGAATCAAAACCAGAGAACACGGGTCAAATATATAACAAAAAATTTGTAAGACACTTCCAGTAGAATCCCAATATAACGAACGCTGAAGGGAACCAGAATATAATTCGTTATATCTGGAGTTTGTTAAACCAAGAGGAAATGTTTTTTTAGGTCTTTTCGCCGTTCATGCCAAAAAAACCTCTGGTGGGCTCGTTTTGGTTCCAACTGATGTCCACATTTAACTCCAAAAACCAAGCTGAATTCAAATATTACTACTAGTTGATCGTTGGAAATGACAATCTTAATGTTTCTATTACAAAATTAGACCAAGAGTTTGGCAAAGTTGGTATCACTTCACTTGGCGGCTGAATGTCGCCTTCGATTATTTCACATCCTTATTTGTTTACTTCTGGTTCTGTATCAAGGTCTCTCAATAATCTTTTTTTGTTGCTCATTGCCATTGAATATTATCTCAGTTATATTTGCCGACACTTTCAGATCATTTCAGTTTTGGATATCTTCCTAATCAGCTTCTACATCTTTTGTCCGTATCCTTCCTTTATGGTATCTTTCAAATCCTATGATCCACCACCTTCCAGCATAGATTTTTTGTTATGTTTCAAATGTGTCGCATGGGTAGATTTTTCTTACATAAGACTCGTTAAATCTTCATTGATATTACTTATCAAGACCAAAAAGGATAGAACATGATTTATAGTTGAATGAAAACTTTCTCTATTGGCCTAATGTTTTTTTAATTTTCTTCACGTACTGAGCGAATTGTGACGTGATTTTATGCTCCTACTCTGTCTTCAAAATGCTACATTCACCATCTTTATTCACTTCTCAATATCTCAGTGTATACTTAAATTCACCCAGGGCCGTCGCTACGTGGGTGATGGGGGAGTGTGACCCCCCCCAGAGCCTAACCTTGTCGGCAAATCTTCGAAAATGGAAGTTTTGTCGTCAACTTCTTGGCAACTGGCAAATTTTTAGAAGAGAGACAGATAATTTGTCCATTGTCAAATAGACATTATCGGTTGTTGATGGCAGCACCAGTCACAGTTGAAATTTGTGAAAACCTAACGAGAATAATTGATGATCGTGCAAACTCTCTCGTGCTAAAGGCCACGCTCGGTTTAGGCCCGGGTGGCAAAGTGGCGATCCCCACCGGGCCCTCAAATTACGGGCCCTTTCTGCAAAAGTTGGAGTGGAGAAGATAATTTTCATAAACTGGAAACTAAAGTCACCACCAAGGCCCCTAACATGCGTGCTGGCTTCACAACTAAGCATCAAAATGAAGTCTGCGCGCAGGCCAAAGGGCCCCACTATGACCAACATCCACTATACAGAAACTCTATTTCAAATTACGCACAAAGACAAATTTGTCCTACTTCCTAGAGAAATAATTTGAAACTGTATGTAGAGATCAAGGAGCTGTTGCTTTTAGTTAGTTGTCTAGAGTCGCCATTGTTACATTTTTAGCTAATAATGACCTTCCACACATGATCGAACGTTGCCTAGGGTCATATCACTTTATGGGAAGAAAGTTGTGCAGGAAGAAAGCTTCTCAAATTGGGAAATTTTTGGAATCAACTTTGCGAAAAAGCGAAATAGGAGCTTTGCAATAACAAACTTTCGCGTTTTAGCGAAAATCATGGACTTTGCGTGAAAAACATTTCTATTCAATTGATGTTTTCCTTCTATTTTTATTCCACATGATACCAGCAAAACAACGAAAAAGATGTAAAATTTGTCCAACAGAATAATTCTTCGTCAAAGTTTTCAAGAGGATCAACAGCAAAATTTTCTGGATATTTCACAAAAATAAATTTTCGAAAATTTAGTATTTCAAGAGGTTTTGCATATCAATCATCCACGATTTTAGGCCATAAACGCTGAAAAACGCAAAGGTTCCTTCCCTCGCAAGTTTCTTCCCGTGAAATTTCTTTCCGCGAAAGTTTCTTTCTTGAAAGTAGTAAGCAACAGTTAAAGGCATTCCCCTGCTGCCCTTTAAGATTTTCTTTTCTCTGAAACCCTCTGCAAGGTGCATGCTTAAAAGTTATAATGAAGTTTTTCTGTTTGCTAATTGTTAAATAAACAACGTGTTTAGAATAATAAAGTTTGGTACAGACTAAGGAATCTGTATCGTTTTAAGTTCTCTCAATGATGTTTTGATGTGAATAAGTTTGTAGGTCACTAGATTTCAAATTGTAGCCAAGATACTAACCTAGACAAATGAAACGATGACACATAAAAGAGAAGAACATGCAGGTCGAATTTTTGATTATTTTCTTGGCTCAATTTCAGAATACTTTATATATATTTATATATTAGGTTCGCTTGAAAATGTTGCAAAAATTGTCAGACTAGGATTGTTTCTTTGAACTGTTATTTGAGTTTCTTAAATTTACAAATAGAACCATTGTTTTGCTGTTATTATGCAAAGTGTAACTGCATACATAGAATCCTTGATTTAAATAGAGAACCACAACCCTCAATAATTGATTTAAACTGAGCCTTTTCTCCCATTAGTTGGTGAAGCCCAAAAAGTTTATCTGCCACACCCTGAGCCGGGACCTTTTGGTTTGCTGCCACCCTGCAATTATGACACTGCGCAAAACCGAAATATAGCAGTTCGAGAAAAAGTATTCGCGAGTTTTATCACTGATAATTATAATCGTTTGAGGACCACGCCCGTAGCCCGTATCTGTTGCCACGCCCATTTCGTCGGCAAACCACTGGTTTTGAACCCCCCCCCCTATGAAAATTTTCTAGCGACGGCCCTGAATTCAACAAAGAACTAAATCACCTATATTTGAAAAAAAGTTCAAATGTCAGACATAACAGAAGACTAAAAAAGACTCTTTATTGTTTTAAACATATTCCATTTATAAAACATTTCTTCATAATACATTATGCTATTATACATTTAAAAAGCAAAGGAATTACTTATTTTCTAATGATTATAAAGTATGCTTCAGTTGGTATAATTTCGATCAGGTTAATAAATTAAAACCTATAAACTATTACTTTATTCATCGAATTGTTCCTACCGCATTAAACAAACTTTTCAAGGTTGCATGCTCATCACATAGAGTAAAAGATGGGGGAAGGGACCTGACCCTGTTTGTTCTCTCTTTAGAGATACTTTAGATCAACGAAACATTGGGCCATATAAAAAAATTATATCCTCTAGTTCTGAAATTTCTACTTGTCAAGCGCGCTTTCATTTCAAAAAGGTTTGAAACCTGTTTTCTTATTCGACCTAACCTCGTTTTTCTTAGGGGAATTTTCTTTTCTTTTTGATTCAATATGTCTTTAGCGAAAGCCCGTTTGCTTACATTACAGTCAGTGGAGAGTCTCTTGTTTTCTCGAGTCTCCCAATCTTCTGTAGCATCTTGCTTCACCTTTTTCTTTGACTGCTCATCCAAAGCATTAGAGGACAAATCATGTGAAGAAACCTCATCTTGTCTCTTTCGTTTTCTCCCTTTGATCCCACTCTCCAAAAATTGGGCTTGATCTCGTTGGTCGCAACATTGATCCACAGCCACAATTCTTTCGAATTTGAAGGGACCAATCTTGAAAATGCCTGCCCCAAACATCATGGCAACGTCGAACTCCTCTTTGCAACTAAGATCGCAGACCTGAAAGACTTGCTCGAGTTCTTTCATTATTTCCCTGAAAGATTTTGAGCTTTCAACTGGATCCAGTGTTGCAAAGTGGAGTAAAAGTTGTATTTCGACGCTCAGGACTGTCGTAACCATTGGCTTCTGTGGATGAAGAATTCAGAGACATTTTCAGAAATTAGAATGATTTCGAAAAAATAGAATCATAATTTGTGATATCAAGTTACTCATTATCAAGTTAAAAAAGAACCATGATTTGTAATGCCAAGTTAATGGATGTTAGTTTATCTGCGTCAAACTTTACTGCTAATATCAAAATTCGATGTTAACAAACCTTTTCTATGTCTTCGATTGTGAACAGAATGTGATCTATTGATTGGACAATTTGTCGCACAATCTGGCCAATGTCTTCAAGCCTGGTGGATGCGTTATAGTCATCAACCTGAAGAAGTAAATAAACATGAACTAATTTTTTTAAAATTCACTCATGAGCAAATGGTTGGAGATTTGATTTCTAAAGTGAAGCATTGACTCAAGTTAAATTCTGTAGTCTTGTAGGGATATTGCGCAAACATCCGATTATTACACATACACCAGGAGGAGATGGTAAGAGACGAGCAATATGGGCCTCTGACACCCCATAGTTTATCGATGTTTCGTATGTTCAGTCTCTAGTTGGTTGTTAACAGTTGGTCCGTCGTCTGTCTGCAAACTAAACGTTTCATGCTCCTTTTTTCTTTTATATTCTCAAAAATCAAGGTACGCAACTGCTAGAGAGAGTTGAGTCCCAGAAAGCCAGGAGACCGTTTTGATAGGTGCCCCACAGTTATTTCCTTCTTCTAAAGTCTATTCAGAATGCTACTTAAACCTTGACATTACTATCCGATATCCTGCATGTCGTAAACATGGTCATAGAATAAATTTATTCAAAGACAGGTATTTTTTCAAGAAAGTTTTTCCAAATAATAGTTCGTGGGTATCCAGTTTATCTCTTACCAAGGCATTTGCATTGACGAGGTCGTTGATGCAGGCAGTGGCATGAGTTTTCAACTGAAAATAAACATGGAACAACTGAGAACATTATTAATCGGAATAATGTAGCAAAAATCATTTGAAGTCTTTGGTTTGAAATAAAGTTTCTATCAAAAATTACCATGACTTGCTCAAATTTGCTTGTCATTCGAAAGTCATACTAAGCAGATTATTACAAATTGTTATGTCATGGCCAATCAACGTTATGTTTTCATTATTATGCTGTGAGAGTCTTTGGAGCATCCTTTCTCCATTTAAGTCTTCAACATTTTTAGCGCAATACTTTGTGAGAAGGATATTAAATATTAGATATTTCCGGAGCAACAAATGAAATGATATTCTAAGGCGGTAACTTACGTTTCTAAACGCCGACCGTCTGAACGAAGAGTCCGTCAATTTCCGAATGATTTCTGTCTTTCCATTGCCAATGTCGGTTAGATCTTTGGCAATCTTTAGCAGAATTTCTACGAAGAGGCATTTTATCTAAAACCTAGCATATTGGTTTTGTGAATATTGGTTTGAGAATAGAATAGGGAATGGAATGGGGAGGCAACTGTTGTGTTGTATGGATATATTCATTGTATGTGCTATTTCTTTTAAAGTTTACTTAGCTAAAGAATATGAAATGTTACTTTAAAATAAGATATAGTCATTATTGTACAGTGTACTAATATTAAAATTACCAATGTTTGTAAAATCAGACCAATAAATTTTCAAGCTGATATCCGAAAGGGCGGTTAGTGGGATGGGATCTGGGTTTAATTGTAAATTTTAGGTCAAAATTTTAAATTTCGATCATTAGGAAGAATGCAACAAGCAAATATGATTTAATGAAACATTTCTTACCGGTGTTATTTGCCAGACTTTCAAAAACTGTGAGCAAATTTGCTCTTTGGAGCTCGACATCTTGGAAATTCTGAAAAAAAATCCATTTTATAAGAATCTTGATAACGAATCTAAAGGATGCTATAATTTTCTTGAAACTCACTCAATAAGGTAAGGTCCTAAACGACTCACGCATAAATTTTTTGTTTAGGGATATGTTTTTATGTTTGTTTGTGGGTATGTTTAAAAAATCTTAATAAAATAAACAAGAACAAGAAGAAATCTTAATATTCGAAGTTGGTGTCACAAATGATTGGCTTCAACTGTTAAATCGATCATTTTTGTTGGTGCTATCTTTACAGCGGTGTTTTTTGGGACCGATGCTGTGGCCTCGATTAGATTCAATTTTAGCTCAATACGAGGGTAATCGCTGGATACGTGTTACCAAGGTGCCACTGCTTGGCAACAAAATGGTAGCTAAAATCGGAAACATCGTTTTCGTGAAAGTTTTATGAAACAAATCTAAAACTTCTTTTTTTTCGTTTTGGTCGGAGAACTGTTTTGGAAAATAACAAATTGCCCTTTTTAATTCATTTCTCTTCTTAAATGCATTCTCTGTATTCTCTAAGGACGAGCTAGCAGTGGCATGTTATCGGAATTTATTGCACTCATTCTCCTGAAGAAATACTCAAAATATTTATAGCACATCGAATCAAGCAAATAAAAAGGTTCAAATATTATTGATGGCTCAAAAATCGCACTTGAAAATTAATATTAAGCTCTCTTTAATTTCTTCCTTTGAAAATATCCTCTTCTTATAAGTTATTAAGTTTTTTAGTAAAACTTCATTTCTGAGACGTAAGGGACGTAAATACAGGTTGTTAACAAACTTTGTCTGTTGAATCTTGTTTAGTGTCGTCTTAGAACATTTCTCATTTTCACAACCGTTCTTATCGTTTATCTTTCACTCAAATGTTTATAATCGAAAAATACTCAGTCAACCCTGTTGATTTCTTTAGCGGATTACCCTTGCCAATTCTTTATAATCTGCTGACATTATGACCGAAAACATTTTGTTTTTATTCATTTGCAGTTTAATTTTTCCTTTTGTGCCTCAACTAGCAGAAATTTCCCTTATTTGCATTGACAGAATTATCCCCTTACAAGAATTTGGCTATGAAATGACAGATTAGATCGTTTTAGACAAATCACTTTCTTTGTCGTCGACCGTTTGATTGCCATATTAACTCTTAAAAACAATAAAAATGTGTAGAAAATTTACAGCATACCTATTTTCCTACAAGTTTTACGAAATAAAATATTATAAGATAATAAAATTATTTTTGAAGTGACGACTTTTCAATTTTCTTGTTCTAGTGTTTTCCAGGACTGAAGATGTGTACATTTTGAGCTTTTTAGACATGATATATTCAAAAAATGGCTTATTTTACTAAACAACCCCAAAGATGGATTCTTTAAGTGTAACAATCTGCTTTAGCTAGAAATCTTGACCCTAAATTATCGATCTCCATGAATACTTTCAAATCTTGATGATCACAAATCGCTGACTTCAGGAATCAAAACTTCGCAACAACTCACCCTTCCTTCGAACTCCGCGTTCCAAAAAACACCAACGGCTTTCTCTGTGTTTTCCATTTTAAAATTGAACAATTATCCAATTAAAACTTGAGAAAAAGTATCCACAAAAGATGAAGTTTATCCGCAAGCGAAATTTGCGTGTAGCAAATCAGTTGAGAAGTTCACAACGAAATTTGTAACGGTTTTTCTCGCTTTTTAAGGTTTGATTAATTTGACGTAAAAACTGACGGAATGTCTCCAAGGATACCACGAACATCATGCATTGCTCATTTGCGACAGTTTGAATGTTTAAAAAGAAATGCAAAATATCTTGTTGAATAAAAACATCCCAAACTCCTATCTTGATATAAATAAAAAGTTATCCTTGGAATATGTTATCGGCATGTTGTTTAATGAAAGTGCATTTATGAATTCAACGCAGGGGAACCTTTGAGATTTGTAAACAAGCTACTGTAAATTGTTCAAAATCTTTATGTAGACCCGGTAGCAAAGTTTGATAATTTTTAGTTAGAGGGTTATTGTGGAGGAAGATAACTGCAATGTTTGAATAAATAAATACTTTGAATTGCTCATTTGCGACAGTTTGAATGTCTAAAAGGAAATGGAGAAGATCTTGTTGAATAAAAATATCCTAGCTCCTATCTTGATATAAATAAAAAGTTATCCTTGGAATATGTTATCGGCATGTTGTTTAATGAAAGTGCATTTATGAATTCAACGCAGGGGAACCTTTGAGATTTGTAAACAAGCTACTGTAAATTGTTCAAAATCTTTATGTAGACCCGGTAGCAAAGTTTGATAATTTTTAGTTAGAGGGTTATTGTGGAGGAAATAACTGCAATGTTTGAATAAATAAATACTTTGAATTGCTCATTTGCGACAGTTTGAATGTCTAAAAAGAAATGCAGAAGATCTTGTTGAATAAAAATATCCTAGCTCCTACACTACCAGGACAAAGTATTGCAACACCTGCGAAGGCGATTAATGGCGGATCACGCAATAACTTTTGTTACAAATAAAATTGCAGATCCAATGAAGCGTTAATTCGAATATTCCTTTTTCATTTTTCAAAATTTTAAATCAGCAATTCAAGTAACTTTCAATTAAACAGACATTTTGTGGAGGTGCTTCTGGCTCCTATAAGTACGAAAAATTGCTTTGGAATTGATGCACAAAATTTGTTGATGAAATGCACTGGGATTCTGTTTTATTCTCAATGAAGTTTCTAAGTCAGTTTTTGTTTGAACTTTAAAGAACCTTGTGGATTTCAAATCAGATCATTTTTGTTCGCAACAAGAAATATTCGCTTATTTTAAGGCTAGGTCTTTGTGATGGCCGAGGAAGGACATAGAGTTTGCAGATTTTCAGGTAAATTTGAGTAAAAATGGCCTTATAACGGAGATGTATTGCTTTTTATGATAAAAACTGCCTTCCTCATTTTCCTAGCATTAATTTGATTCCACCAAAGAAACTGTTATGCATTATTTTGACATGTTTCACTGCATTAACTCGCACGTCACTAGTTCATGATTTACCAATTTATATAGGCCTAAATGTACCAAAAAAATTATCCAAGTTTTATTGGAGAATTTCGAGGCTAAAAGAGTCAGAGCTAATAACTTCATTTGTTGTTTCCTAAACTTTCACTATTTTGCTATCATTTTCTATAAAAAGTTGCAAAATCTTTAGAGTCGAGAGACCAGTTACACGAAGTTTTATCACAACTACTCGCTCCTTATCTTGTCAATATCTTGAATTTACCACTGCAGATATTTTTTTTTATAACTGTAAACTTTCTTACGTTAATATTGTAACTCTAAATTTTTCGAAATCCTCAATAAATTTCGAAGAATTTGATTCCTGGTTTAGAATGATTATGCTTATTTTTGAGGGGAATATTTCAGCGTAAAGTTAAAAGTTTACAAAACTTCAAATTTTTTTGATGCCATTTTGATTAGGGTGTTGCAATACTTTTGTCCTGGTAGTGTACACTAGGGTAAGAGATTTCCAGGCATTGTATAAAATTCGACAAGAATACATTGCCCAATGCATTGTTTGAAGATTTTGTGTGTTTGTTTAGTGGGACCTTTGCTGTTTCTTTCTTTAAATATTTTTGTAGTGACATTTATTTCTGTTCCTGGAGAAAATGACGCAGGGCGAAGCATCTTCCCTTGCTGGGTATTTTCGTGTTCTTTCTCTTGTCTTAGGCAGCCTTTCCACTAGCCTGGGTTAAAACATACCCGGGTTAAAAGTTATCCGTTTTTAAAGTGAGTCAATGGAAACGCCACTTTTCTTCGACCCGTTTTTAATCTGTTTCTGATCATTCCAACTAAGCCGGGTTAAAATGTATTCAGGGTGAAAAGTTGTAGGAGAAATCAGTATTTGCATCAAAAATCCTTCAATTTCTATCAAATCCTTCAATTTTGCATAATTTACAAAATGTTTCACGTTTTTTGCAGATCTTTATTTTGTCATGCATAATTTCAAGGATCTTTATTTTGTCATGCATAATTTCAAGGTCTCGTCGTATACGTTCAAGAGACTCAAAGTTGTCGAAACTGCTAGTAAAGATGAATAGAAATACAGTGTTTTGATGTGTATTCTCGGTATAAGTAGCAGTTTTTGGCATTGCAATAATATGTTCATATTCTGCTGTTATTCCCAGATATGATGCTTTAAGCTTATGAAAGGTACCTTTTGTAAGAGAGCATACGTTTAAATTCGTTAAGTCAAAAATGTGTAGATTATTGTAGAATTTTTGAGTTATGAATATGTTCGTTAATTATGACGAACTAGGTCTTTTCGCCGTTCAAGCCAAAAAAACCTCTGGTGGGCTTGTTTTTGTTCCAACTCCTGTCCACATTTAACTCCAAAAACCAAGCTGAATTCAAATATTATTACTAGTTGATCGTTGGAAATGAAAATCTTAATGTTCCTATTACAATATTAGACCAAGAGTTTGGCAATGTCGGTATCATTTCACTTGGCGGCTGAATGCCGCCATCGATCGTTTCACATCCTTATTTGTTTACTTCTGGTTCTGTATCAAGGTCTCTCAATAATCTTTTTTGTCGCTCATTGCCATTGAATATTATCTCAGTTATATTTGCCGACACTTTCAGATCATTTCAGTTTTGGATATCTTCCTAATCAGCTTCTACACCTTTTGTCCGTATCCTTCCTTTATGGTATCTTTCAAATTCTATGATTCACCACCTTCCAGCATAAATTTTTTGTTATGTTTCAAATGTGTCGCATGGGTAGATTTTTCTTACATAAGACTCGTTAAATCTTCATTGATATTACTTATCAAGACCAAAAAGGATAGAACGTGATTCATAGTTGAGTGAAAACTCTTTGCATTGGCCTAATTTTTTTTTTATTTTCTTCACGTACTGAGCGAATTGTGACGTGATTTTATGCTCCTACTCTACCTTCAAAATGCTACATCCACCATCTTTATTCACTTCTCAATATCTCAGTTTATACTTGAATTCACTAAAGAACTAAATCACCTATATTAAATTAAAAAAATTTCAAATGTCAGACATAACAGAAAAATAAAAAAAAAGAGACTCAGTATTGTTTTAAACATATTCCATTTATAAAACATCTCTTCATAATACATTATGCTATTTTACATTAAAAAGGAAAGGAATTACTTATTTTCTGATGATTATAAAGTATGATTCAGTTGGTATAATCTCGATCAGATTGATAAATTAAAACATATAAACTATTACTTTATTCATCGAATTGTTCTTACCGCATTAAACAAACTTTTCAAGGTCGCGTGCTCATCACATAGAGTAAAAGATGGGGGAAGGGACCTGACCCTGTTCGTTCTCTCTTTAGAGATACTTTAGATCAACGAAACATTGGGCCATATAAAAAAATTATATCCTCTAGTTCTGAAATTTCTACTTGTCAAGCGCGCTTTCATTTCAAACAGGTTTGAAACCTGTTTTCTTATTCGACCTAATCTCGTTTTTCTTAGGGGAATTTTCTTTTCTTTTTGATTCAATCTGTCTCTAGCGAAAGCCCGTTTGCTTACATTACAGTCAGTGGAGAGTCTCTTGTTTTCTCGAGTCTCCCATTCTTCTGTAGCATCTTGCTTCACCTTTTTCTTTGACTGCTCATCCAAACCATTAGAGGACCAATCATGCAAAGAAACCTCATCTTGTCTCTTTCGTTTTCTCCCTTTGATCCCACTCTCCAAAAATTGGGCTTGATCTCGTTGGTCAACATGTTGATCCACAGCCACAATTCGTTCGAATTGGAAGGGACCAATCTTGAAAATGCCTGCCCCAAACATCATGGCAACGTCGAACTCCTCCTTGCAACTAAGATCGCAGACCTGAAAGAGTTGCTCGAGTTCTTTCATTATTTCCCTGAAAGATTTTGAGCTTTCAACTGGATCCAGTGTTGCAAAGTGGAGTAAAAGTTGTATTTCGACGCTCAGGACTGTCGTAACCATTGGATTCTGTGGATGAAGAATTCGGAGACATTTTCAGAAATTAGAATGATTTCGAGAAAATAGAATCATAATTTCTGATATCAAGTTGTTACTTATTATCAAGTTAAAAAAAAGAACCATGATTTATAATGCCAAGTTAATGGATGTTAGTTTATCTGCGTCAAACTTTACTGCTAATATCAAAATTCGATGTTAACAAACCTTTTCTATGTCTTCGATTGTGAATAGAAGGTTATCCAAAGATTGGACAATTTGTCGCACAATCTGGCCAATGTCTTCAAGCCTGGTGGATGCGTTATAGTCACCAACCTGAAGAAGTAAATAAACATGAACTAATTTTTTTAAAATTCACTCATGAGCAAATTGCTGGAGATTTTATTTCTAAAGTGAAGCATTGACTCAAGTTGAATTCTGTAGTCTTGTAGGGATATTGCACAAACATCCGATTATTACACATACACCTCGAGGAGATGGTAACAGACGAGGAATATGGGCCTCTGACACCCCATAGTTTATCGATGTTTCGTATGTGCAGTCTCTAGTTGGTTGTTAACAGTTGGTCCGTCGTCTGACTGCAAACGTTTCATGCTCCTTTTTTCTTTTCTATTCTCAAAAATCAAGGTACGCAACTGCTAGAGAGAGTTGAGTCCCAGAAAGCCTGGAAACCGTTTTGATAGGTGCCACACAGTTATTTCCTTCTTCTAAAGTCTATTCAGAATGCTACTTAAACCTTGACATTACTATCCGATATCCTGCATGTCGTAAACATGGTCATAGAATATATTTATTCCAAGGCAGGTATTTTTTCAAGGCATGTTTTCCAAATAATAGTTCTTGGGTATCCAGTTTATCTCTTACCAAGGCATTTGCATTGACAAGGTCGTTGATGCAGGCAGTGGCGTGAGTTTTTAACTGAAAATAAACATGGAACATTAATCGGAATAATGTAGCAAAAATCATTTGAAGTCTTTGGTTTGAAATAAAGTTCCTTTCAAAAATTACTATGAGAATTTCAATGAACGTTATGTTTTCATCAATATCCTTTGAAAGTCTTTGGAACATCTTTTCTCTACCTTCAATAGCACTATACTTTATGAGAACGATATAAGATATTAGATATTTTCAGTACAACGAATGATAAGTTATAAAGCTTTAGAGCCTTTGGAACATCCGTTCTCCACTTAATTCTTCAACTTTCTTTGCACAATACTTTGTGAGAAAGATATTAGATATTTTCAGTACAACAAATGAAATGATATTCTAAGGCGGCAACTTACGTTTCTAAACGCCGACCGTCTGAACGAAGAGTCCGTCAATTTCCGAATGATTGCTGTCTTTTCATTGCCAATGTCGGTTAGATCTTTGGCAATCTTTAGCAGAATTTCTACGAAAAGGCATTTTATCTAAAACCTAGCATATTGGTTTTGTGAATATTGGTTTTAGAATAGAATAGGGAGGCAACTGTTGTGTTGTATGGATATATTCATTGTATGTGCTATTTCTTTTAAAGTGTACTTAGCTAAAGAATATGAAGTGTTACTTTAAAGTAAGATAAAGTCATTATTGTACAGTGTACTAATATTAAAATCACCAATGTTTGTAAAATCAGTCCAATAAATTTTCGAGTTGATATCCGAAAGGGCGGTTAGTGGGATGGTATCTGAGTTCAATTGTAAATTTTAGGCCAACATTTTAAATTTCGATCATTGGGAAGAATACAACAAGCAAATATGATTTAATGAAACATTTCTTACCGGTATTATTTGCCAGACTTTTAAAAACTGTGAGCAAATTTGCTCTTTGGAGCTCGACATCTTGGAAATTCTGAAAAAAGAATCCAGTTGATAAGAATCTTGATAACGAATCTAAAGGATGCTGTAATTTTATTGAAACTCACTCAATAAGGTAAGGTCCTAAACCACTCACGCATAAATTTTTTGTTTAGGGATATGGTTATATGTTAGTTTGTGGATATATTTAAAAAATCTCCATAAAATAAACAAGAACAAGAAGAAATCTTAATATTTAAAGCTGGTGTCACAAATGATTGGCTTCAACAGTTAAATAGATCATTTTTGTTGGTGCTATCTTTACAGCTGTGTTTTTTGGGACCGATGCGGTGGCCTCGAATAGATTCAATTCTAGCTCAATATGAGGCTAACCGTTAGATACGTGTTACCAAGGTGCCACTGCTTGACGACAAAATGGTAGCTAAAATCCGAAACATCGTTTTCGTGAAAGTTTTATGAAACAAATCTAAAACCTCTTTTTTTCGTTTTGGTCGGAGAACTGTTTTGGAAAATAACAAATTGCCCTTTTTAATTCATTTCTCTGCTTGAATGTATCCTCTGTATTCTCTAAGGACGAGATAGCAGTGGCATGTTATCGGAGTTTAATGTACTCGTTATCCTGAAGAAACACTCAAAATTTTTATAGCAGATCGAATCAAGCAAATAAAAATGTTAAAATATCATTAATGGCTCAACAATTGCACTTGAAAATTAATATTAAGCTCTCTTTATTTTCTTCCTTTGAAAATATCCTCTTCTTATAAGTTATTCAGTTTTTTAGTAAAACTTTATTTCTGAGTCGTAAGGGACGTAAATACAGGTTGTTAACAAACTTTGTCTGTTGAATCTTGTTTAGTGTCGTCTTAGAACATTTCTCATTTTCACAACCGTTCTTATCGTTTATCTTTCACTCAAATGTTTATAATCGAAAAATACTCAGTTAACCCTGTTGATTTCTGTAGTGGAGTACCCTTGCCAATGCTTTATAATCTGCTGACATTATGACCGAAAACATTTTGTTTTTATTCATTTGCAGTTTAATTTTTCCTTTTTGTGACTCAATTAGCAGAAATTTCCCTTATTTGCATTGACAGAATTATCCCCTTACAAGAATATGGCTATGAAATGACAGATTAGATCGTTTTAGACAAATCACTTTCTTTGTCGTCGACCGTTTGATTGCCATATTAACTCTTAAAAACATTAAAAATGTGTAGAAAATTTACATCATACCTATTTTCCTACAAGTTTTACGAAATAAAATATTATCAGATAATAAAATTATTTTTGAAGTGACGACTTTTCACTTTTCTTGTTCTAGTGTTTTCCAGGACTGAAGATGTGTACATTTTGAGCTTTTTAGACATGATATATTCAAAAAATGGCTTATTATACTAAACAACCCCAAAGATGGATTCTTTAAGTGTAACAATCTGCTTTAGCTAGAAATCTTGACCCTAAATTATCGATCTCCATGAATATTTTCAAATCTTGATGATCATAAATCGCTGAATTCAGGAAACAAAACTTCGCAACAACTCACCCTTCCTTCGAACTCCGCGTTCCAAAAAACACCAACGGCTTTCTCTGTGTTTTCCATTTTAAAATTGAACAATTATCCAATTAAAATTTGAGAAAAAGTATCCGCAAAAGATGAAGTTTATCCGCAAGCGAAATTTGCGTGTAGCAAATCAGTTGAGAAGTTCGCAACAAATTTTGTAACGGTTTTTCTCGCTTTTTAAGGTTTGATTAATTTGACGTAAAAGCTGACGCAATGTCTCCAAGGATACCACGAACATCATGCATTGCTCATTTGCGACAGTTTGAATGTTTAAAAAGAAATGCAAAATATCTTGTTGAATAAAAATATCCCAAACTCCTATCTTGATATAAATAAAAAGTTATCCTTGGAATATGTTATCGGCATGTTGTTTAATGAAAGTGCAATGTTTGAATAAATAAATACTTTGAATTGCTCATTTGCGACAGTTTGAATGTTTAAAAAGAAATGCAAAATATCTTGTTGAATAAAAATATCCTAGCTCCTACACTACCAGGACAAAGTATTGCAACACCTGCGAAGGCGATTAATGGCGGATCACGCAATAACTTTTGTTACAAATAAAATTGCAAATTCAATGATGCGTTAATTCGAATATTCCTTTTTTATTTTTCAAAATTTTAAATCAGCAATTCAAGTAACTTTCAATTAAACAGACATTTTGTGGAGGTGCTTCTGGCTCCGATAAGTACGAAAAAATGCTTTGGAATTGATGCACAAAATTTGTTGATGAAATGCACTGGGATTCTGTTTTATTCTCAATGAAGTTTCTAAGTCAGTTTTTGTTTGAACTTTAAAGAACCTTGTGGATTTCAAATCAGATCATTTTTGTTCGCAACAAGAAATATTCGCTTATTTTAAGGCTAGGTCTTTGTGATGGCCGAGGAAGGACATAGAGTTTGCAGATTTTCAGGTAAATTTGAGTAAAAATGGCCTTATAACGGAGATGTATTGCTTTTTATGATAAAAACTGCCTTCCTCATTTTCCTAGCATTAATTTGATTCCACCAAAGAAACTGTTATGCATCATTTTGACATGTTTCACTGCATTAACTCGCACGTCACTAGTTCATGATTTACTAATTTATATAGGCCTAAATGTACCAAAAAAATTAAAAGTTTTATTGGAGAATTTCGAGGCTAAAAGAGTCAGAGCTAATAACTTCATTTGTTGTTTCCTAAACTTTCACTATTTTGCTATCATTTTCTATAAAAAGTTGCAAAATCTTTAGAGTCGAGAGACCAGTTACACGAAGTTTTATCACAACTACTCGCTCCTTATCTTGTCAATATCTTGAATTTACCACTGCAGATATTTTTTCCTATAACTCTAAAACTTCTTACGTTAATATTGTAACTCTAAGTTTTTCGAAATCCTCAATAAATTTCGAAGAATTTGATTCCTGGTTTAGAATGATTATGCTTATTTTTTAGGGGAATATTTCAGCGTAAAATTAAAAGTTTACAAAACTTCAAATTTTTTTGATGCCATTTTGATTAGGGTGTTGCAATACTTTTGTCCTGGTAGTGTACACTAGGGTAAGAGATTTCCAGGCATTGTATAAAATTCGACAAGAATACATTGCCCAATGCATTGTTTGAAGATTGTGTGTTTGTTTAGTGGGACCTTTGCTGTTTGTTTCTTTAAATATTTTTGTAGTGACATTTATTTCTGTTCCTGGAGAAAATGACGCAGGGCGAAGCATCTTTCCTTGCTGGGTATTTTCGTGTTCTTTCTCTTGTCTTAGGCAGCCTTTCCACTAGCCTGAGTTATAACATATCCGGGTTAAAAGTTATCCGTTTTTAAAGTGAGTCAATGGAAACGCCACTTTTCTTCGACCCGTTTTTAATCTGTTTCTGATCGTTCCAACTAAGCCGGGTTAAAATGTATTCAGGGTGAAAAGTTGTAAGAGAAATCAGTATTTGCATCAAAAATCCTTCAATTTCTATCGTTGTAGGCCAATGGAAGCAACATCGACATCCAGGATTTTGTTTTTGATTTTTGGCGCCCTCTTAATTTTTTAAACGTTGCTTCCCATGTTTGTGGGTATGTTTTAACCCAGGCTAGTGGAAAGGCTGCCTTAATGTCTTAAGGTACTTCTACAGTTTTCAAGTTCTGTTTATAAGTACCTAGGGCCCGTCGTGGCTCAGGAAGGCTCAGGTTAGTTAGGTCTGTCTCTATTTGATAAATGTCTTCTTTACCAGCTTGAATTTACTCATTGCATTTAATTCTGTTGTGGTTTCATTTGAATTTCTAAGTGTGATCTTCGAGACATTTGGATGCTGACCTAGAAATTGCACCCTACCTTCTTTCAGATGATGTATATATTTTGTTTTTTGTGAGAGAGCTCATTATTCTCGAACAATGTTTCAGGAATATCATGTTACCATACTTTTTCTAGAACGTGTGTTTTCATAACCATTCTAAACTACATATCTGACACACACGAACAAGAGCCCAAAGCCTTAAAAATGGCAAACAAAACGGCGTCGATTTCTGACCTGCATTTTCAGTTTGATATTGTTATGCTGTTCTGTAAACAATTTTATCTTATGGAATTGAATCAGCTTTCTTTGAACTTTTTGAATAATTGAGCAATGCAATAATCTGTAAGATAATGTAAAAATGGCTGCTATCTTGTCTTTCCCAGTTCAAAGTCATCTACATATAACAGCGTTACGAATACCATCGAAATACATAGCATCTTTCAATGTTCAAAACTTGGTTCGCTTACGATCTATTATGTATTTCTAAGCTCTTCTTTATTTGTTAAAATCCTGACGCTAGTAGGGATCTTCTCAATGTTTAAGATATCGCTTGTTTACTTCCCTTATCATAATTCAATTCAAGTTTTTAAGTATTTGAGGCCATTGTCGATATCATTACTGTCTCGACAAGCTTTTCGTTGCTGTTCCATTATGCTATGTTTATTTCAATCTTCTACTGGGAAGATGTAAGTCAAATATTGTTTTCTCTGTTTTTCTTTTGTTTGGGATTCTTGATTGACTTTACCTTTTAGTATCTGGGAGTTTTTATATAAACTGACTATATTGCAGAGTAAATGTGTCATAATTTGGATTGCGACTACGAACAGCAAACAACTATATCATTGCCTTTAGATTTTGTTAGTTCCAAGCACGCGCGCATATTTGCCCATACTTTTGAACTTGTTCCGAACCTTTAATATCAGTACTTAGAGTTTTTGACAATACTTAGAAGACTAACTTGAAATAAGTTTGCAATTTTCCATATTTTAGTATTTTGACTGAATTGCAGAAGTTTGCCCATACTTTTGAACTTGTTCCGAACCTTTAATATCAATACTTAGAGTTTTTGACAATACCTAAGAGACTTACTTGAAATAGGTTTGCAGTTTTTTCATATTTTAGTATCTTGACGGAATTGCAGAAGTTTGCCCATACTTTTGAACTTGTTCCGAATCTTTAATATCAATACTTAGGGGTTTTGACAAAACTTGGGAGACTAACTTGAAATAAGTTTGCAATTTTTTAATATTCTAGTATTTTGACGGAATTGCAAACTGGAAATAAGTTTTTTGCATCATTATATACTATCATGATTTACCAATTAGAATAATTTCTCGACAATTACAACTCCACTAATATTTATTTTTGAATTTGAAAGCGTTATCATTTGAAAAGATCTCTTCGTGCCATTGATTTTGGTATAATCCCTACTGTATCAATAGTGAGTGTTCCTAGAATGATTTATTGCCAGGTTTTCAACTGCTTAACGTTTCAAACTGTTCACAATTTTGTTTCCAGTAACTTTCGAAAATATTTGAGTTAGAATCAAAACCAGAGAACACGGGTCAAATATGTAACAAAAAATGTGTAAGACACTTGCCATCTTTCAGTAGAATCCCGATATAACGAACGCTGAAGGGAACCAGAATATAATTCGTTATATCTGGAGTTTGTTAAACCGGGAGGAAATGTTTTTTTAGGTCTTTTCGCCGTTCAAGTCAAAAAAATCTTCAGTGGGCTCGTTTTGGTTCCAACTCCTGTCCACATTTAACTCCAAAACCAAGCTGAATTCAAATATTACTACTAGTTGATCGTTGGAGATGAAAATCTTAATGTTTCTATTACAATATTAGAACAAGAGATTGGCAAAGTCGGTTCACTTCACTTGGCGGCTGAATGTCGCCTTCGATTATTTCACATCCTTATTTGTTTACTTCTGGTTCTGTATCAAGGTCTCTCAATAATCTTTTTTTGTCGCTCATTGCCATTGAATATTATCTCAGTTGTATTTGCCGACACTTTAAGATCATTTTAGTTTTGGATATCTTCCTATTCAGCTTCTACATCTTTTGTCCGTATCCTTCCTTTATGGTATCTTTCAAATCCTATGATTCACCACCTTCCAGCATAAATTTTTTGTTATGTTTCAAATGTGTCGCATGGGTAGATTTTTCTTACATAAGAATCGTTAAATCTTCATTGATATTACTTATCAAAACCAAAAAGGATAGAACGTGATTCATAGTTGAGTGAAAACTTGGCCTAATTTTTTTTTTATTTTCTTCACGTACTGAGCGAATTGTGACGTGATTTTATGCTCCTACTCTACCTTCAAAATGCTACATCCACCATCTTTATTCACTTCTCGATCTCTCAGTGTATACTTGAATTCACTAAAGAACTAAATCACCTATATTTAATTAAAAAATTTCAAATGTCAGACATAACAGAAAAATAAAAAAAAGAGACTCAGTATTGTTTTAAACATATTCCATTTATAAAACATCTCTTCATAATACATTATGCTATTATACATTTAAAAAGAAAAGGAATTACTTATTTTCAAATGATTATAAAGTATTCTTCAGTTGGTATAATCTCGATCAGATTGATAAATTAAAACCTATAAACTATTACCTTATTCATCGAATTGTTCTTATCGCATTAAACAAACTTTTCAAGGTCGCGTGCTCATCACATAGAGTAAAAGATGGGGGAAGGGACCTGACCCTGTTCGTTCTCTCTTTAGAGATACTTTAGATCAACGAAACATTGGGCCATATAAAAAACTTATATCCTCGATTTCTGAAATTTCTACTTGTCAAGCGTGCTTTCATTTCAAAAAGGTTTGAAACCTGTTTTCTTATTCGACTTAACCTCGTTTTTCTTAGGGGACTTTTCTTTTCTTTTTGATTCAATCTGTCTCTAGCTAAAGCCCGTTTGTTTACACTACAGTCAGTTGAGAGTCTCTCGTTTTCTCGAGTCTCCCATTCTTCTGTAGCATCTTGCTTCACCTTTTTCTTTGACTGCTCATCCAAAGCATTAGAGGACAAATCATGTGAAGGTACCTCGTCTTGTCTCTT